TTGCGTTTTTTGGGGGGAAGAATCCGAATGGTTTTGGGAGCTCATTTTAATTAAATTCGATTAAAAATTAACTAATCAATGTATCGCAAAAAGCTTCGGGTTAACGGAAGATAAAGTACTCGTGTATCAAATAAACAATTCGAGGTGTTACTTTCGTTGTTGTATTACAGATATATAGTGATTTTCAAAAAATAAATCCATCGAGAAAAGTTTGTCCATTCGTGATTCTGTTCCACGAGACTTTAGTTAAAGGACTGAAGTTACACATACTAAAATATCACGAATCAAATCTTTGTAGAAATCCTGTTCTATGCTTCCAAAGATGCGCAATTTGCCATAACCGCGCTTTAAAAGTATATTTGTATGAGTGTATGGATCAATCGGAAACGGAAGTAATGGAATTAAAGAATGCATGATAAGAGAAAAAAAATTATAGTCAGTGGTAATACTTATTTGCCTTCATCAGCTGACTAAACGAATATGTAACATTTTGTTACTATTGTAACGTGGTATACTTTATCGAAATTGCATAAATAAATACAATACAAATGTATTATTTACCAAAGATTAGATAATACACGTCAATTGATACTTATTGACGAGTCCCTTTGTTATGAAGCTTGTTTAGTACCTAGTGGCGTAAAATGTAACCAATAAATGTTATAATGGTTAGTTGTCCTTGAAAAGTATGAGTTGTTAGATATAGCGTTAACACTTTTATGTCATTAGCGTAGCCTTTTACACTAACAGGAATTGGAAAAGGCGTTCTAAGAGAACTGTCAAACTTTTAACTGCACAGTAACACTGTTCAGTTAATACCTTATATCTGTTACTTTTAAATTAATTCGTTCAAATAATTCCATTATACTTGAGATTTAAATTGTTAACAATTTTGATATTGCCATACATTTTTTTAAATCACTAACTTATATTTCGACTGTCAAAATAGTCAAGGTTGGTTTTAGAATTACCGGCGCCCTAGGCGACCGTCCCACCATGCCGTAAATTAATACACATGTATACTATATTGACATTTAGCATTATTCCCAACCGTCCTCCCCCTCTGTCCCCACATGAGAATAAAAAGTTTCATCCGTCCCACCTTTTAGTCCCACTAACAATAAGGAGACAGGTGGGACCTGTGGTGTCCGAAATAAAAGTCGTGCGTGTAGGCCAAGGTGTTTAATCCGACTGCTGTACAATTATACTATAAACAGGGTATTCCAATATAATAATTCTAGGTACCTACATTACAGGACCGTTATGAAATAAAATAAGTTGCAACCGTCCCCTCGTCGCAAAAGGTGGGACGGATGAAACTTTTTATTCTCTTATGTTCCCACGTGGGGACAGAACGGAGTGATGGTTGGGATAAACCGTCATTTGTACTTATTGCTATAAAGTAATGAGCACTTAGCTGAGTAAAGGCCTTATCCATTCAGCGTAGCAAACACTGTAAAAAAATTATTCATAATTTTATATTTACTAATGTGTATATAGTGTTTGCTTTATGAATGGATTAAATGATAATTATTATTATTATTACTAGAAATAAAATTAGATAATATGTTTCTGCACTAGTTGCGGTAGTGGAAACTAATATATTATGTTTAAATATTGGATTACACTAATTAACTTATAAGTTCCTTGTTATATTTTGTCAGTGACCCAATGAAATTAAAAGATACCAACCTATTGGTTGGATGATAATAACTGGCCGAGTGGAACCAGTAATTTAATCTAAATAAATGTGACCCAAATTTATATTTATATACGTATGTCTATGTATTACACGTGTTTGGTACAAAGGGCGTCATTTGCCGCTTTTGCAATGTGTCACGTTGATTTACGATAAGACGGCGCAATGCAATACTTCGTTCATGTATTGGAACCTTTCATGTACATACTGGAAATGTTACGGTGATTTTTTACATAATTTTATTGGACTTAAAAAAAAAAGTAAAGAGCCAACTTTTCAATTTCCTTATTGCATTTAAGTTAAGTAAGATTTAATATGCATTTACACGGAATTCGACGTTTCTATGGATTTAGCTTTGGAAACCAAGGGTAATTAAAATTTGTCCTGTTAATTAGAATCAAGCGTTTAACGTTATTTATAAACAAAAACATTCTCTACTTTAAGAATAAAAACACATAACATACATGTTGACCTTGTTGAAACTGACGTTTTATCAATAAAATGCATTTAATCTGCAGATATGTGAAAATGATTAAATAAATACAAATATTGATTAAAAAAAATTACACGGTCAGGAACTTTTAATCTACGACATTAAACCTTTCTGTTCTTATTTTACCAAGTTTAATCCTATCCACAATTTTTACTCAACAATCCTTGATTTTGACTCATCTCTTATAACGACTGTGCCTATATTTATATCCGAAGGGCTCTTTCAAAATAGTTTGTTTATATAATACTAACTACTACTAGCGTGAAAATATATAGCCTAAAGCGTGACGTAAGTGTTGAGCTTTTTTAAAAAAAAAGATTTATTCAAAAATATGCTTTAATTGCTGACGTCTTAGGCAACAAAGAAGTGTGTTTTTACGCTCCATTATAATAGTATAGATTTTTATGTAAAGCAAATATTTTAACAATATCTTAGTAACAATAACTAGCTAAGAAGCTGGTTATATGATTTCATTTGTATTAAAATAGATAAGTCGTCGCATATTTATGATCACGTTTTATCGTTATTTCTGTATTTACTGCATTGGCTTAATGATCCCTAGGTATTTGTTGTAAGCCAACATCGGTCATAAGTGTATCCACAGTTCTGTTGAATAAGATTGCGTTGAATTTATCAGTCCTATTCGTCACGTCGGTGCAGATTGTTGTACCATTTATTAATTGGTATCGTTTAAATAGATTACTTATTTGAAATAATAATTTTAGACAATGGTGAAGTCCAAGAAAGAAGTCCGGACGAAAATTATGAAGGAGGGCGAGTTTATCCCCCCCGACGGCGGCTGGGGGTGGATGATTGTGCTCGCCGCGGGATTTTCTAATGTGAGTACTAAATCTATTTAATGTTGATGTTTTTTTATTATTTTTTGTGAATATATATAATAATAATAATTTAATAAAGGGGAAAGAATTGTAGTTTTGTAAGTATTGAAAAAACTCAATAACTATTGGGCCGAGTTCAAAAATTCTTCCACCATTAAAAAGTTATGTTATCGCTGAATAACATATTTTTAATAATAAGCTATCATATTTTTAAATATCAAGTATACGAAGTCGCGAGCAACAGCTTCTAATTTATAAGTATGGAAGAAAAGCAATAAAAAAAGGGGTTTATGTATATTCCACAAAGTTTAGGTGGACATTCCGGGTTCGTTTTATAATTTTTTATGACTACCGGAAGTAGTCAATGTCTCAAAACTCCCCACTCATCAATGTGCATGCAAACACATCATGTACATAAACAAACCATTGTTTTCTCAGTATTTGATATCTGACTCATTTAATTGTAAACTATTAACAAGTACATAGTTACTCATATGTCACATAAAAGTTCCATGAATGAGTAATTTAATCTCAAGTACAATTGAAATAGTTATATATTACTAACTTTCCGCGTAGATTAAATAATAAAAGTGGGTAGCCTATGTGTTCTTTCAGACATCAATCTATACCAAATTTCATCGAGATCCGTTCAGCCGTTTAGGCTACAAACTCTAACAAACATCCATCCATCTAAACTTTCGCATGTATAATATTAAGTAAGTATGAAGAATGATGTAGTAACTCTTGAAGATTATTTTATATCGGATATATATAAATTTGATTACCGAAACATATGAGGCCAACCTATATTTATGTAAGCCTACTGTCTGATTTTTTTTGCAACAACTGTTATTCGTTACTACTGCTTTACCTGAAATACCCTAACTAAAAGTAAGCAAGAATATTTGTGTGCACTTGTAGCCGATTATAACAACTTAAGCCGTTTAAAGTGCGTCGGTGGCTCAGTGTTTCAAGCACTTAACTTGTAATCTACAGCTCTTGGGTTCGAATTCCGCTATGTACCAATGTGATTTTCGATTTATGAAATTTTCATAAGTACATAATTTACCCGACGTTCTTACGGTGAAGGAAATCATCGTGAAACAACCTGTACATATAGGCGAAAAAATTCAAAGATATGTTTGAAGTCAACCTGCACTTGGTCAGCGGCGTTGACTGAGGCTTAGTCACCCTAACTTAGCCCTTCCCTGGGGACGTATTGTGAGCTGGTGATAATGAAGATGAAGCCGTTTAAATATACGGAAGTAAATTGAAGCTATTTCAGTCTCTATCTCCTAAATTAACCTAGTCACTTCTAACTTGGGTAAACCATTTTCAATTACCCCAGTCATTTAAGTAATTACTGCTATTGTCTACTAATTATTATATCTCCTCTTTTAGCTGTTCGCGCTACCGATGCTGCAGCAGTTCGGCCTCCTCTTCCGCGACAAGTTCTCTCGGCTCGGCATCACCAGCTCGGAGACGACCACAATAATCAACATGAACTCGGCGCTTACCTCTTGCGTCGGTGCGTGACGCGCCTCGCATGGTAACTCTCTGATACCATACCGGCCGATTCTAAATATTATTATGCATATCTTAGGTAATAATTACAGCGTTAGACAGAACAAGTCTCTACTCGCTGAAGTCATTTGCGAGCTGAGAATTTGGATGGAATTTGAAGAAATTTGAGCTAATTGAAGTAAAGTCATTATCTGTTTGCACGCTAAGTATATGTAATTGTTGCTCAGTCGTAAACTATCTAAATAACGAAATCTATCCGGGTTTTGATATTATTATCACGTAATATTGCACTTTCTTATATTAATCTTGTTGTCAAGCGCTTGCTTTTGGATCAAAATTTTAGGTAAGTAATTAATGATTTTGCATTCAAGATGATTGGTTGTAATTCACGCGAATGTTTTGATTTCTGTTTACTTTGTTTACATACTGATAGATAAATTATTTAATTTATCTGTATCGCATAAATAATCAAATTAAGTTAATTCCTACTTTTTATTTTCAAAGCCTTTGAATAGCTCTACACATTTCTTTGCTCGCATTATTTTGTCAGGCGCTTTTTAAATGTAAACTATCAGACTGTGACTAGGTTACCAATGACCAATGTATTAATTAAAAACAATTCAGAGTTGAATTTGTAACTAAAATTAGGAGAATAATTGTAGATTTTGACTAACGGAATATAAGTTCACTACTCGTGTATTTTCCAAATAACATAGGGTTGAATAAAATTGATAAAATAATGTTTGTTTAATGACTGCGCAACTGGAATTAAGTACATAGATTGTCGTTGTATGCTCCATAACCTTTACATTAACTTTATCAATTAGTTCATTAACCTTTCGCACTTTACAAGATAATTTTCTCACATTGACAACCACGTGTTTGTTTAATTTTTAATAACAATAATTACATTTAAACTAAGAATACATTTACCTTTAGTGAATTCTTATAAAACAATTTCTATTTACAGGTTTGGCGAATGGACCGGTGTTCAAAACGTTCAGCTATCGTCAAGTATCCCTCACGGGGGCTGTCGTGGTCTTCATATCTTTACTTTTAACAACCTTCTCTTACAATTTCATGACTTATTTATTGTCATTCTCAATACTTTATGGTAAGTTTGAGCAATTTAAGGTTAATTAAAAAAGTAGAAAAGACAATACACAAATATAAAGCAAATAAGTACGCAACAAGAAGGAGTAATAAATTAAAATTTCATCTTCAGGTGTCGGATATGGAATCAGTAGTTCCGCGAATGCCCTCGCATTAAATACTTACTGGAAAAAAAGAAGGCGACTAGCGACTGGCCTTTCGTGGACCACAACAGGAATGGGACCGATGTTATGGCCGCACATAATTACAGGATTATTTGCCCTTTTCGGGGAAACTGGAGCTATTTTTATAATAAGCGGACTGTCCCTCCACGCGATAGCATGCGCACTTTTACTGCAGCCAGTGGAATGGCATTCGAAATCACCGAAAGAACAAGACGAAGAGAAATTGTTAACCCCAGATCTGCTAAATGACCATAAAATGCCCGAAGAGAGCGGTTATTTCAGTCAAGTGTCAAAAATTAAGAATCTTAGCTTATTTTCAAGTCAATACCTTTATAACGAAGATGATCCGGTTACACCTGGTTATGAAATCACGGATCCCGGCGTTCCAATGATGTTAAGAGCCAATGATGGATACTTCAGCCAGTCGAGACAATCCAAAAGTCGTATATCTTCTAGGGATGGTTCCAATCGAACTTCACGTCTTAATTCTAAGAAACCATCAATGTCGAATTTACTTGAAAATAGATCAAGAAAATCCTCAACTTTATATCTCAATGAATCTAAAAAGAACTCATCGGCAAATTTAGGTGCACTTGCACAAGAACGTGAAGGGTACAAACCAAAACGTAAAACGTCAATCAATTTAGATACTCAGATTCCAGAATCTGAGATAGAAGATTGTCCTACACTTAAGGCACCTCAAGATTTAAAGGCGGAAGAGAAAGCTGCAGTCGAGAACATAGATCCAAGAGAAGCAAAATATATAGCTGACAGAGCTGAGAAACATCTTGCAGGCAGTAAAAGCGTTAAATCATTCAAAATGGACGGTCAATATGGAGAAAAATATAACAAGGATAATCAAAGCAATGTTTCTTTTAAAAATCAAGAAGAGAACGAAGAAAAGAAATATCTCAAAGACAATCATAGCAATCAATCATATCGTACGAGAAATCGAAGGAAATCGAATAATTTCAATTATGAAAGTGAAGTACTTAAGCAAGCTTCATTAAAATTAGAGCAATACTTAAAAGAAAGTGAGGATAAATCACAAAGCGATAAATTTAAGCTTCTAATAAACAGCCCAGTAGAAGATGAAGTATTTGATGAAAAGAAAGAAGAGAAGGAACAAGAGGATGTTGAAGAACAGCTAACTTTTTGGCAGAAAGTAGCGATATTTTTCGATTTGGACCTACTAAAAGATTTCACTTTCATAAATTTGATGTTGGGTATAACATTAGCAAATTTTAATGAGCTTAACTTTTCTATACTTACTCCATTTATTTTAGGCGATTATGGTATGACGAAACCACAAGTGGCATTTTTCATGTCGTTATTGGCCGGAGTTGACCTTTGCGTTAGATTTTGCATTCCATTTATAGCTGGAAAAATTGGATGGGACAATAATTCCTTTTTCCTGTTTGGAGTGTTATCGATGGCTTTTGGAAGAGTAGGTAAATGCAGTCCAACACCATTTGTTTTTATATTTTTGTCCTTTGTTATTAAATTATTTATTAACGTATATTTTGTTTCAGTTTTATCTTTCTGTCAAACATATTCAGTAGTTCTCTTGGTAGCTGTGATGATAGGTTTCGGCAAAGGGTTTCGAACAGTTTTCATGGCTTTAGTAATACCAACACATGTACCTCTGCACAAGTTACCAGGTGCTACAGGCATACAATTACTTACAGCTGGTATCGTTTACTTAGCATTGGGACCAGTAGTAGGTAAGAATTAGTTAATGTTATAAAAGCACGCGCAAACCTGTCACTAAACTATGGCACACCAGTTGATAACTATGAGCTTATGGAGGTTACACTATTCGATTTTTAGTTGTGCAACCAAACAGTTGAATTGGCTGCAAAACAATCGACAATCGCACATCAGTGTTGCGATAGTTTAGTCAAAAGTGTGCGCACGCTTTAATAGTCTATCTCTGCTCTCCAGACTAAAAACGCGAACGAATCTGGTCAAAGGAAACTTTTAATTTGGCATTATTTCCAGGTTGGATCAAAGACAATACTACAACAGCCGTGACGTTGCATTGTCTGAACATCTTCACCTGGCTGACAGCGTTCTCATGGGGCTTAGAGAAATATATCACAATGAAACGACAGAAAAATTCAAAAGAAATCACTAAAACGTAAATACAGAAGTTTATGTTAATTAGTAAATAGGTTAAATGTGTTTAGAATTCATTGTAATTGTTCGATTAATAAAATGTTAATGAGTCGATGTCGAGGGCCAATGCTCTGGAGGTCGGACGAAAATGTGACGCGGCGTCATTTATTTATCTATCATCTATGATGTTTGTTGTTTTTTAAGTTGTGGAAAATATTTGACATGTAGTTAGTTAATAGATTTGTGTGCGCGTTTTGTGTAAATGTTATGTGTAAAAATGTAAATCTTTTAGTGTCAATTAGATAGTTTTTAATTTATAAATGAGATTTTAATTATACTACAAATATGGGTAAGATTAAGAAATGTTTAAATTCAATCGATAGATGTCACATTTTTGTTAAGTAGAATGTATCGAAACATGTTGTCTGTTTAAACATGAACTGGAAAGTACAATATAGGTCGACAATAAAATTATTAAAAAATAAAGAACTAAGGATGTAGTTGAGTAGGTAATGCGTTATTGCAAAACGAGTAAGTGATTTTGTTTCTTTTAGTCCAAAAATTGCATAGTAAATTATGATAAAAAAATACTACTAGTTTTTTCTTTGTGATCACACCGATTTATTTTATTTTATTTTAGTTGAAATTAGTTAACTATATTACAAATTAGTCACAGTTTAAATAAACTTTTTTTTTAATTCCTGTCTCACCTGTTTTTATTTAAAGGCGTTAGCGTGGCTAATTTCGATACGTGATACATTTCTATCAGCCGTCATATCTGAATGCTCTCCCTTCTTAAGCATTTCCTTTTTCTCACAATCCATCCATACTTTCTTCGGTCTTTCTCTTACTTTGTAGCCATCCACATTCATTCTTAACACTTTCTGGTTTATGTCCTCATTGTCTCGTCGCATTACATGCCCATACAACGCTATTAGTATAAAATCTATGCGATTAAACTTAAATCGTGTAAAGATAATTTATTTATCAATTAAAAAAACACTATCCCACAATGACTTCATTTCGTTTACTAATGGTTGTCAATTACTAGCGCGTTCTGAGTCTTTCAATTGCCACATCCGAATGTACAGATCTACCGCGTGCGTTAATTTGGTTATATGCAGGATATCCTCATTCATTCATTTTCTTTATTGATGACTTTGTATACATGATGAGAGACTGTTTGTAAGAGTAGTGAATGTAATAAACGTAACAATTTACCTTATGTAATGAAGTAATTTTTGACTTTGGTAATATTTTGAAATCTATACTTCTGTACTCTTCTTCTAACATAATAAAGCGCAAACACTATTTGGTGGCATAAGATGTCAGCAATCATAGCAAATTTTTGAATAATTATTTCTTGAATTAATAGCCCTATACTTACGACACGCTTTAGGCTATATATTTTCACGATATTAAACTGAGGGCGTAATTAATTGGAGAAAAACCATCGAGTGGGAAAGGGATAATAAAGTACAAGCTGCCAACATTAAAGAAGCAAGAATGCGGATGAAGCCGCACGGGAACAGCTATTAGAATGATAAAGCTATATGACATTTTTCTAGGTTAGAATAAAGCTGGATATGAGACAAGGTTGATTTTGTTATAATTTTACACAATTAATAAGTTTTAAAAAAAATACAGCCGAATTGATAACCTTCTTTTTGGAAGCCGGTCAAAAATGAAGACAAAATCTGTTTATGTTTAATACAAAAATTATGACTTTAAAAACATTATCAAACTGTATCTTAGTTGGAATAGTAAAGTCGGCTCATAATTTTTTTCTTATCAACTGGATGGATTTAGTTATCAGTCGGGCAACGAATTCAAAGCAGGTGCACTTTGCATTATTTACCTAGACAACATTTTCTTCTTTAGGAAAATTGTTTGTAATATGATATTTAACGGTACTTTTTTTTAACTGAGTTATCATTGCTTTCCTTGGAAAGGCAATTACAGCTTAATTATATTTTATAGTACAAATATTTAAGAGGTAACAATTTAAACCGATAAGAGAAGTTATCCAGGTTAGTTATGTTAGAAAATAATTAAAATTTACTAATACTGGATTTTTGAAGTTTTCATTTACTTTGTCTTTACCTTCAAATTAATTAGTGTCAGGTTAACGTAAGTTTCAACGGAAAAAAAACTCAAGTTAAGTTTCGAGAATTTATTGTTCCAAAAACAATAACGAATAGTTAAAAATAGCTTGGAAACCGGCAATAAAGTACAAGAAAATAAAAAAATTACAAAAGCTACAATACACTTGCCAAGGGGCGCTGGTGAGCCACTATAATTAAGTTTGACTTATACCCGCCTACTATGATCTTTGTAGACATGTAAAATCCAATTAAAAACTGTAAAATAGAGAATATTTAATGACAATATGAAGATATAAATTACATAAATTTTTGAAACCGTCTTGCTTTCACTTATTGATACAATAAACTACGATTCAATCAAAACACTTCAATGAAAAGGAGGTCGAGAACTGCGTGGAGCAAAACATGTATAATGTCAAGTATGCCTTCGATATCAATTGTTTATTAAAGAAAAGTGCAATGAAAAACTTCATACGTTGCTGTCTATTGCTAATTTTTATATGCACAGACTAGTCAACACTTATACATATTAAAGACTAGCTGTTCGCGTGCGACTTCAATTGCACGAAATTATGAAAATTGTTTTATTGATTACATTTGTCAAATTCGATTGCAAATGTCAAAATGACATGACATGATGACAAAGTATGGCAATTTTGCTTCCTTGATGTTGGCAGCAACTTATGGTCTCTTTCCCACATTAGGATTTTATCCAAAATATTTACCCCCTAAGTTTAATGGCGTGAAAATATATAGCCTAAAGCGTGACGTAAGTGTAGGGCTTTTTATAAAAAAAATATTTATTTAAAAATATGCTGTAATTACTGACATCTTAGGCCACAAAGAAGTGTGTGTTTACGCTTTATTATAATAGTATAGTATAGAAGATAAATAATGAATAATACATTTAATGTAATCCATGATTTGATCAAATTAATTTAAAAAAGATAATTATAATCCGTTGCGTGACCGTTTTATCGTTCGATAAATTTGCATCTAATTTTTATTAAAACTTGCAGTTGTTAAAACTAAGTAACACTGTCGCTGAACGCGATATCTAAATGGTATCATGATCGAGCTCAATTATTATCATATCAACCGATATCGCAGTATAATTGATATAAAAATCGTAAATTTTTAATAATTTTTACTAATTTCTATATTATTTATTAGTCTGATTGTATTTCGTGTTTCATATTGATTTAGAGCAAATAATTGATTTGTATTTTTTATAATTTCTTAATTATATAACTTTAGACGTGATACTCGTAATCTACAAAAGATAAATATGCATTTATAATAGCCAGCTGTAGGTTAATGTACTCACTTAGAAAATCTATAGTACAGTCTTTACATAAAAGATTTGCGATGTACCTTTCAAGTGTAATTAAATTATATAGTATTTATTTAAAATGATATAAATGAGGTAGATAAAAATATTTAGGAAGCCATCATATTGCTCAAATTGTTAAAATCAACATATAATTTTAGTAAGATAGGCGAAATGTAAATATTTCTTTAAGCCAATTAAACCTAACGAATGATAACAAGGAACATAATAAAGTCACACCGATAAGAAATATAGGAATATCCGTCGGCGTACAAGTTGCTCGTCCCCTTGCGACAGACTTGTACACGTTCAACTTTTGTTAAACACCATTCAGACTGATGAATTGTTGACCAATTCAAGAGTTCAATTGTCAAGGACTTTTAATAAAGTTCACAATAAACTGTGAGATCAAACGATAAATAAATACATAAATAAAGTTATAATAGTGGAAAAATGTGATATTGTGCGGTGTGTAAAGTGTAATATTTCAGAAACTTTAGAAGTTATGTGTAGAATTTGATGCACATTGGTTACGATGACGACTAAAGTTCCGCCAGATGGCGGATATGGATGGGTGATAACATTTGCTTATGCCCTAAATAATGTAAGTACAGATTGCAATACTTTCTAATAATTTACCTTTGAAAATAATTACAGCTGTTTGACTTTTGTTATCGTTCCAATTATGTAACGTATAGCGGAAAATTAGACATAATAATATTACCAGATTAGAAGAAACCCTTTATATTAATGTAAAGCGGTCAATTATTAATATACTTCAAAAAGATTGAGGTTATCAATTCGTCTGCATGTTTAAAATATTTTATTACTTTTTTTTTAATGTTTACTAAATAGTGGATGGTGATAGCACGGATTTAAACTTTACCGACTTTATCATATGATAGAGCAATTTGCAATCTAACTTACTGTGTGAGATTGCAAAATTCGAACTCAGAATTTAGTTCAATTCGAATTCAGAATTGTTTTTGATAAGAAGGAAAGGGTATTTTTTCAACGTAATAAAGTAATAAAGCAACAAGCAAAACAGTAAGATGTACTTGTTTTATCATCGATTTTATTGAATGTTTACCTAAAATCACTTGTATGAAAATTTAAAACGCTAAATGGACTCAAACTTATTTAAAAAAAAATACATTTTTGAAATAGTCCAAAAATTAATGTTATTTAATTTCAGGTAGTGGTACTTCCCCTTGTCGCTGGCTTTGGTCTCGTATTTCAAGAGGCGTTTGAGGATACCGGGATAACAGCAACCCAGGGTACATTAATAATCACCCTCAACCATGGTATTGGAATGCTACTTTCGTTCTTCGGAGGTCCAGTGCTTCGGAGATGGGGTTACAGAAAAGTGGCCGTATTTGGTGCCATGATGATATCTTTCGGACTTATTTTAACGTCTATGGCCAACAACTTCTGGGTCTTCTTACTCTCGTACAGTATTATTAATTGTAAGTTAAAAATATTTTACAATATTATATTTGGATGCTATTTGGTTTATTATAATGCTTGTTTTGTTACAGCAACGGGAGTAGCAGCGGTAATGGCAGCTTTTACTTTAGCAATAAACTCATTTTTCAAAGTGAAAAGAGGTAGAGCGATTGGTGTCGGCATGTCTATTACAGGTTTAGGTACAATCCTAATGCCAATAGTAATGAGCGCCCTCATGTACTCCTACGGTTGGAGGTACGCTGTACTCATTCTGGGAGGTCTTTGTTTCCATTCTCTCTCAGCTGCTCTACTACTGAGACCAGCTAAATGGTATTTAATAAAACCTCCAGTTTTAGAAGAAATGAAACCATTGAATAAGGATAATCAAGATGAGCTAATCAATGGTAGCGTTACGACTTCATCGAAGCTTACAGGTGAATATTTTTTTAATAAATGAAAGACAAAAAAAAATCAAATTTTACAATTGACATTTAATTAATTGCAGATTCTTTATCTTTGCCAAAACGTGAAGAACTAATAGAAAACGGAGTGCACACAAAAAGTTTGTCAATGAGATCTTTAATGAACGCCAACAATATTCAGACGAGGAACGCAGTCTCGCATCCAGATATAAGTAAAAATCCACCAGAACCTCCGCTATCGGAGTCCCGTTACAAGTGGTGGGAATCTCAAGAGATTAATTTAGGAAGTTCTATAAATATCTTCTACGAAGAAGACAATATCAAACAGCTTAAAGCGAAACAAAATGAGATTTACATCAATGAAGATGAAAAGCCTAAAAATATCTGGACTAGATTTATTGATTTTTTCGATTTAACTTTATTAAGTGATCCTATATTTGTTAATATCATGTTCGGTCTGTCGATGGCCGCGTGTGTGGAAATCAATTTTTCCTTACTCTTGCCAATAATTCTGAAGGACATGTTAAAATTTGAGACGGCGGATATCGCAAAACTTATGGCTGTGATAGGTTTTTCTGATACACTGTTTCGATTTGTGTCTCCGTTTATTGGTGAATGGTGTCACAAACCTCCAAGAGTGATGTATTTAATCAGCTTGCTTATGATCATCTTCATACGTAGCCGTAAGTATTGTTTTGTTTAACTTCCTTTTATGGAGATCTCAAAAATAAAAAGTTTTCAAATGAGATTAATAATTCCAGTGATTAACGATTCTAAAGTCATTACCTTATATAAATACTAAAAATTTAGCCTATGTTACTCACAGATAAATTACCTTTCTATTGACGAAAGAATTTTTAAAATCACCAGAGTAGTTTTTGAGTTATCTCAATAAATACCTAAATACAAATCTTTCCTCTTTGTAATATTAGTATACCATAGATGTTTGATGTTTTTCTAGTGATGCTGGTTACTACATCGTTCACGGGAATGTTGTTTGTATCCCTGGCTATCGGAGTGACGAAGGGCATCCGAACTGTATACATGAACATCGTTATCCCAAGCTACGTGCCCTTGGAACGGCTCCCCTTCGCCTCAGGCATACAGATGTTCTTCAATGGAATCGTCATTATTACCTTAGGATCATTGCTAGGTAAATTTTCTAACGGTAGATACTATTACGTGATAAATTGGTGCTCCAGACCCACGTTTGTCCCCTTTTCTTATAAAAAGTTGCAGTTATTTCAATATTTTTTTTTAAACGTGGTAATAATCGTCTGCAGAATTAGCACTTTTTTTGGTTCTGAAACTACCTCATATAATACTTACGAGTACAGTGACATTTTCCAATCGATAGTTGCAGATGTGAATGGGCATAACACAAGATCGTAAACAATGTTTGCTTTCCTTAAGCTATTCAAATTTTAATTAATTTATTGATTGTAACATTTCCAGGTCGCATGCGTGAGGCTTCAGGCACATACAGGCTGCCTATAATCGTGTTAAACTTTGTTACATTTGTGACTGTCGCCACGTGGAGTATGGAATTCTTGTATTTTAGGTTAAGAAAGAAAACGTCCGAAGAAACTGTTGCTGCTTAATCTTACTAATATTATTTAAGTTTAATTCTTATTATGTACGAGAATATCTTTCTTAATTTTTACTTAGATTTAAGAGGTTTGTAAATAAAATAAACGTTTAGGTATATATTTATTTACATATCATATTTACATTTTTTTATTAGTAAGTACTTTAGTAATTTATTAGTTAACAACGCTTTGGATACCAAATTGCAAAGATAAACTAGAACATGTGTTGCATTTAAAAATAAAAATTAAATACAATACAATTTTGGTTCCAAATAATTCATCTGCGTGAAAAGATGCGGATCAAATAAAAGAGAACACGTACGTTTCGTGTTCTCCTTAATTTGTTCAATAACCGTGAACGGTGAACCGTAACTGCAAAAACTCTCGCTGTAATTACCTCAAAAAACGTGGAGTAACACTATTTAGTTAAACATGTATTTTATTTCTTTAATTTAATTTAAAATGTACTTGAAAGTCTGTCTTAGTTTTTGAAGGTAAATCCCTCATTGTCTGCGTTACTCAAAGAGGACGAGAGATAGCCATAGTCAATTTTCAGTCAGTTCAAGCCACGGTAACGTTGTATTCCCATAACTATATTAAGATTAATATTTTTCATAGTCTTTATCACTATTAACGCAACTTAAGTTTTTTGCACTGTTAGTTTCACACACACAAACACACAATCTTAATTATTTGGTTTTGTTTGTGACTTTAAATTGTATTCTTGAGAATAATTCTTCGATTACTTTATTCTTCACTGGAATCTAAAATAAATAGCAAACATTTAATACACATTATTCCCTCTGATAGAATGGCCAGGAGTTAGATGTTAGGACAGCATACTTGAGATCGTGGATTTTATTAATTGCATAAATTTGGTATTGATTTATTAGATAGTGTAACCTTGATAATGTCCTTGCTTTTGACAAAGTTAAACAACTTACTTAATATTTAAGACTCTATCGTTTAGATTAATAAAACATGACCATAATTACATTTATAGAAAAAAGCGTTGTTGTTAAAAGAAATAAAGTTTTGAAAATAACTTAGCAGAAATTAATATAATTGTATTAATATAATTATATAGAAACCTTATCCATGTTAATTTAACCAGTCATCAGGAGTCAGAGCCCTCCGACGAATGCGTGTTTTCGCTAGCGTAAAGACTACGCAAATTGTTTACTGAAATAAGATAGAAAGTTAGTTGACTGAAGTTAGAAGTAAGGAAGAATTAAAAACAGAAAAATTCTTACTGCTTTGATGCCAGCCTTTAGAAAAGCCGTACGATGAATCTGACTTAATAGAATCTAAGGAAACCGGACCGGAGGCCGTAAATCCGAAGGGAGGACGATTCGAGAATCTCGGAGACTTAAATGGAAAGCTGTCCAACGTGAATTCATCAAAATTACTATTAATTTTCTTGGATTCAAACATTTCTGTTTGTGTTTCGTGAACGTTTTCAGTTTTAGTTTGAGTTTTGTCACTCCAAGGTTTTGATGTTACTACGTAAACTTTTTCTTTGGTGAGAGGCGATATTGATGTTTGTATCAAACCCCATGGAGCAGGTGTTGTTGTTGAACTGCGGAAAGATGACGCTGCAGTGTAAATACGTGGTTTCTGATTTTCATCTGGATCTTCACCCTTTTCGATTAATTGCTTATTTTTAGTCCTCTGGATTAAGTTATAATCTTTTATTAATTTGGAAGAAGTGTTACTTCTTGTTTCAGTGACAGAATGTTGCACACTACTTGAGCCTTCGTGATCATAATCCTCGTAGTTATATTCGGTAGTTTTATGTTCTTGGAGTGGATTTACTGTTGTAAAAAAATCATCAGGAATTTGTTTAGCGTACTTTTCATTAGATCTAGTTCTGTCAGGCGTTGAATAGTGATTAGAATATTCTTGTTCTGTCCAATCGTCAATAGTATGTTGTAATTTTATAATGTCGAATGGTGGTTCTTTAACATCGTAGAAATCATTTAATACTGTCGGTGTGTTAGTTATTTCTGAATTGTGTTCTTCTGTGATCGTTGAGACATGTTCTGTCGTTGTAGAAGGCAATGTGGAAGTTTCTGTAGCAGTGTTAAAATATGAAATCTCCGTATTCGAAGGGACTTTTCTTCCAAGATACTCCTCTTTAGTCACAAATGGTTGAGCTTCTTGAGAAACCGAACGCATCTCTTTGTTGTTACTTCTATGAGTTTGTTCAGTAACATAAGGTACAATGATTTGTACTATTTTAGGTTGACTTTTCGGACCGTCTGATGCGGTGGATAGATCTTTATGATTATTTTGCCTCGTGCCGTATATAGCTTCAGTTGTAGACTGAATTGGCGCACGTGTTGATATCTCGTCATAAATTTCGTAGTCATTTTGACCAATGTTTATTGATGAAGGTGTGGAAGCTGTTATTACAAAGTTTTCAAAATTCTTATGTGGTGCGCTGGGTTTTAAGTAAAGCAAAGGGGAATCTATATGTTGGAGATTACTTTCTGTTCTATATCTGTCAAGGTCTTCGTCTTTTACTCCCCTTAAATCTGCAAATACTTGTCTATGGTTCGAAGGTATGTGAGAATTCTGTCTAACATCTGTGGGTAAGCTACTTTCATAGAGATTGTTACCTATTTCAAGGCCAGTTGTTTCAAAACTAACATCTTGGTTTACCTTTGCTGATGAAATATGATCCTCTGAAGCTTGAGGGGTAATGTCTTTGGCTTCGTCTATCACATAGCTGTTCGGTATGTTTCTGAAGGTTTTGCTATGATTGGAACTTTTCGTAGCGTCTATATCTATGACTGGCGATTGAATAATTGTAGTTGGATACTCTATTGAATGCACAAACTCTGCAACTGGAACACTTTGTTCAACATTAACATTTTCGGATGCCTTTTTCATGTGATTTATGCCGTATATTACATCTGTTGGGAATGATGTGGATATTGGGCGGAAAGGTCGTGCATTAAAAATAGGAGGTAAAGGAGAAACACTTAAATTCGGGAGTGCAACTGGTTGTAAAGTATGAATATTTCTTCCTTTATTTAAGGTAAATGGAGCAGGATTAGCCAGTGCGATAGAAACATTAGGTTCGAAAGATTTCACAATGTCTTTAGCTACCACTTGGGTTTTAATTTTACTCGATGCAGCTTCCAGCGAGGTAAATGGATAAGGTATGTTCAATGCATTAGTATTACTGATATCTTCGCCGTAAGAATTTTTAAATCCTTTCGGATACCCGACATTGGGTAACTGTATATAACCCGGTGGAGTCACAACATTGAGAATGTCCAAATCATGTCCGACTGGTGAATGATTTTGTATTACTCTAGGGAAATTATTTTGAAGATTTACTGGAGAATTAGTAGTCACTTGTTGGCTAAAATCAACGGCGATGGATGGTGTAACATAAGCTATTGGATTGTATGTAGAAGTTGTGAAGCTGTATGTATTAGGCAGATTATAAGATGAACTTAATTGATGAAAAGAAGAACTTGACGTTGAAGGTTTGGGGACACCACCATAAGAACTGGGTGAGTGAATAGAGCTTAAAGAATTTTGTAATGATATTTGCTGAATAGCACTAGGAGGTCCATACGTTGAGCTTGGATTTCCATTTAAATGAGATTGATCAGGTACACCATAAGATAAATGAGGTTGATTTGGCTTTTGTTCTTGACTTATCTGGAAGTTAAATGGTTGTGGTCGATGTTGGACTACGTTTTGGGCTAATGATGTATGACTGGGAGGCCCGTACGTTGGACTATTGTTATCTTGAACATTTTTATTTCCTAAATTATATTTTATCACTGGAACCCATGGCACTAAATTGCAAGGATTGCAATCTTTTTTGAATGGTTCAAGATTAATTTTAGATCCATCGGCAGCGGTCTGTTGGGATTGGGACGGGAAAAGCCATCCGGATATTTTCTGAAAAAAGGTAGGCGAAGGAGTGGTAGTAAAAGGTTGGGGTGAAGGTACAAAGTTAAAGTTGTATTGTTTGTAAAAAGGAGCGGGGAATTTGAACTCCGAAGGCGGAATTGTTGAAACAGCAGGAGGATAAGTTGATTGGTATTGGTATCTCAAGTCCTTAATTTGTTGCTGTGGTTTCCCTCCGTGAAACGGCACAGGGGCGATTGCTAGTGGAGGTGGCGGCGGCTTTAAGATATCTCCAAACTGTGATGGGCCATTTCCATAAGCATAGTTAAAACCGGAAACAGGTTCACAATTATACCTCGCAATGCCAGCAAGTAGCAAGACTGGCAACACCTGAAATATTAAAAAAGCAACTGTAAAAAGTGTCAAATTTAACAAAATAGTAAAAAAACATGAAATAGATTTAAGTGAATTGGCGAGTGTTAGTACTCATTTAGTAATTAGAAACGGTGAAACACTCAACGTGACATATCCAAGCTATTGTACTATCTTCCCACGACTTGTTATTCTTTGCACTTTTCTCTTTTCTCATAACAAGCGTATTCGGGCGCAATCGGAAGCAGAAAGATTTTGGTGCTATCATTTACATTGTTCAAATTATAGCAGTTTACCATAATTACATTGGCATGTGTATAGCCTTTGTGTGTAGACTCTTTAGCTTAAAACATTACAAACTTGTACGGTTTTCATTTGTTTTCCTTATAATAAATGTTTCGTTTATTTATAGAGATAAAGCCCGCGATGCTAGTTGCCAGACCTTCGCTATTTACAAAAGCTTTAAAAATTTAATATAGCTGACTTATTCTTTCATAATAAGTAAAATAATATTGAACAGCTTCTTGCTATTGAATATCAAAAACTTTTATACAAAGTAGATGTAAAGCATATCAGGTGCTATACTTTACAATAGCTAATAACTGTCATAAGTAGTTCTCAATACAAAAATCAAACTAATCAATACGCACTTAACACAATAATATACAATGCTAGCTGTTGCACGAGACTTCGTTCGGGTGAAATTAAAATATAGCCTATGTTACTCACAAATAAATTATCTTTTTAATGATGAAAGAATTTTTAAATTAATTAATTTTTGAGTTATTTCATTACGTACAAAAATATAAATCTTTCCTTTTTATAATATTAGTATAGATGGACCTTCGTACTTCGTGCTTGTAAACATTGCATAAGGACAATATTAAAATTCCCCAAGTAATTCGGTTACATGCTTGCATGCGGCTTTGATGCAACTTGGCAGATGAAGGAAAATAAATTACCATCTTTGTAAATAGAATCACGAAGCGAGTAACAATCGAATCAATTCGATGCTCGTATAGAGTTCGAGTTTCGAAATGGTAGTAGTACGAGACCTCATAGCCAAGCTTTGGACGTGTTCTTTAAGACGTGATGAAAAGTGAAAATCGATTTTGGTTAATCTGAACGTCGGTCACGTTTTATTGAAGGATAACTTAAAATTCAAAATGGTACAACTGTTATTGCGTAATTCGTACTATTAACAATATTTTTTCTCTATAATTATAAAATAAACACTTAGATTTGATCTCAACACGTGGAAATACAATAATTTTAACTTGTAATGCTCGTTTATTTAATAAAAATCCGCACTTATTCAAAAAAAAACGAAAGTAAAAAACAAAGTCAAGCAACTTGCATAAGTTACTCACCCACTTACGACAGTAGCCCGATAATTAGATAATACTGCAAATTAATTATGAAATTATGCGTGATTACAGCGTTTAAGTGCGTAAAACTATAATAAAAATATTTGCTTTAAAGTAAGTGATATAATAAGCAATTATTAATATTAGCTTTCGCACGCAACTCCGTCCACGCGTAATAAAAAAACAAATGTGAGTAGCCTTCCTAGACTGTCCTGTACCAAATTTCATCAAAATCCGTTCAGCCGTTAAGGCAACTCTAACAAACATCCATCCATCCTTTTATGCTTTCGCATTTATAATATTAAGTATGAAGTATGATTATAATGAAATAATTCAAAAGCATTAAAAATAACGTAGTATATAATACATTTATAAAATGCCACATTTTCTTATTATTTCGTAAAACAATATAACACCATATCTAAGATTCAAAATGTTTCCTAGTTATGGTCTAACAAATCTATAGTAAGGAGAGGAAAGTGTGTAGTTAACATTATCGCTAGATTTAAACGATGGGCGCACGGACAAATCATCGCTATGTGAAAGTGCTTCACAGAGTCACAAAATCACAAAATTAGCATAACGGACCTTGCCTAAACACTTTTGAACAATTTTAAAGTACGTTGCGAAGTAAACGCTGAACCTTACTTTACAAGACGAATTGAATTTTTAAATTGACGCAGGCTTCATGTCACGTATTGTAAATGCAATAGGCTGTGCACGATTGAATTTATCTAATAAGTTCTACTAAGGCCTCTCTACTAATACCTTATAATTAATACGAAAGTCGAATAATACGCACTATCTAGTCGTGGAATTGCGGAAACTAAAGTCCCTATCACTACTTACGTGGTATAAAATTATCATTAAAAATTTGAGTTGAAAACCTCTACTTGACCAGAATACACATATCTAACAAGAATATATTATATTTTGCACAGACATCGTCTAGACAACCCTCTGGTTAAACAGAGTTAAACTACAAAAGAACCATAACTCGCCTTATACCGGCCACTTAAAGGACAATGACTTCTAAAGACTTTAGTAAACAGATGGAAGGATAAGATACGAGTAGAAAGATTATTATTAAATATGTCTTTGTCAAATGGACTTTTTTTTAATTTCTGAAATCTATGTTAGGAAAACTGATACACATTGGGTATCGATTACGTTAATTTAAGTGTGCCTATACTAAACTAGATAAAAAAACATAATAAGTAAGCAATAGCTAAATAGAACAATACGAAGTAAGTTATGAATATGACATTGTAAAATAGGAAATCACTTTTACTTTTGCGGAAACAATCTGTCAACGCACGACTCTTCGTTAATCATTCATAAGAAATCATTCATTCCGTTCACTAAAACAAATAATACACATGACAGTTGTATGATAGGTTATTTGTATGCAAACCAGAATTAACAATACGCGATCTCTATAATGAACGACAAATGGGGTGAGAAATGGTGGAGAAAGCATCGCAACGAATCGTGACTGAGTACACAGACTGATCTACATGTTACATCGATTAATCTTCAACAATGATAAACGCTTTACGGAAACTATAATTACAATAGTAAAATAAACATCACATTGTGACACTACAAATTTCTTTTCTTTCGGAAGGAAACAGCGACCGAATGTATTTGAAGTTCATGTATGAAGGAAATGTGACTTTATAAGTAGAGAATTTGTAACAAAGGCGCACTAGTAAATTAATGCTGTCTATTTTCACGCTTGAAGAATGTTTTAATACCAGCTATTAAATGAATGGAATGAGGTAACAACAATATTGTAACATTTTTTTATCTGTGGATTGAACCGATGTTCTGTGTCATGGAAAAAGAAATATTACAAGCATAAATTAAATTATTTTCTTTAGAATAGAATTATGTAAGTGTAATGCTAAATAATGGTTTATATTACAAGTTAGAAGATAATTTTAAATTTCTTTTCTCAGCATTTTTGATGGCAATAACCTAACCTATAAATTATTTTTATCTAAAAATAACTTCTTTTGAAATAATAGGAATATAAATTGTTATCCGGAGAAAGTATTTAAATAGTTTGCATGAATTTGTATACACTGTATTACATAAAATAACATTTTAATGAAAGTGAACGCGCCATTGTGCGGCTCTTTACATTCCTTGGCGGGAAACCCTAGACCTGTTCAACTTTCAATGCCTTAAGGTCATAAATTCTTTAAGACGGCATGGAGTATCTTTCTGTGTATAATTATTATCACATGTATTTAAAATGTTTAAATCAAGACGATAACATTTTATATGGCCTTTCTTAGCAAATCTTATTGGTTCCAGAGATAGAACTGGTTTAAAAAGTGTATTCGAGTTATAAAACTATGAAAATATTAAGGAATGTTTACTTTATGTATCTTAACTGAAACTTAATGCATATTCTAATCTCACCGGAAGACACAAAGTTTATAATCTATGATAACAGATTAAAAACGTCAAGATTGATGTCTTATCTTGGTACAATTTAACTAAGAGATTCAAAATAACCAACAAATGCACGTAGAATGTAACTAATGATGGGACATTACAATGTCGTGTCTGAGAGTCGTTCGACGATTATCATCATTGGGTGAAAGGTTGACGCAAATGATGTATTTTTAATACCGTGAATTGCTAATACTTTTCAAATCTCAAACAGTTATGTACTATTAAAATTCGTTATAAGCTGAATTTTACGCTAACATACTAAATCGTTGTCAATAAAATGAACTTATAAGATAGTTTAAAACTTGTTACATAATAAAACACTAGGTGTTGCTTGCGACATCGTCCCGTGTAATTAAAAAAAGTAACAAATGTGTTACTCAGTGATAATGTATTTTATGGATGAAAGAATTTTTGAAGTCGGCCAAGTAGTGTTTGAGTTATTTTAATAGTTACAAAAATGCAAATCTTTTCATATAAATAACCTGTTTACACTAAGCAGAATTTTTAATATCTTGCAATTTGTATATTTGTCAATATTTTAAGAAACAGTTATCCTTAATCTATCAAGATATTCCAACGAAAATTTCGAAAAAAAAAGTTAACATAACCAATATCGAAACTAGATCAAGGTCTTCAAAACAATTAGCGTGTTCATGTTCGGAAGATATAAGTGAAGACCGATTCATTTCACTGTCGCGGTCAACGAAAGTGGCTCCGTGGTAATTACAGTTGCCGGCTGACGGCCGTTGCCTTTATTACCATACGCTTTGTGCAAGTTATTGTTTACCTTCCTTAAATCACAATTATATTCTAGAGATATTTAATAAAAAATGATACATTCAAGTAAAGCAAAAATGTAAAAATCACAAACCAATATTGTAACTAATACTTTCGAATAGATGAATGGATTTTTGTTACTACATATCTTTAGAAGAGCCTAAAGGATTTCGTTAAAATTTACCACTGATCTAAACGCAGTCTGAAATACCACATAGACTGATTTTTAATTCCGAGCGGACGAAGTCGCGGACGACTACTAGTACCTACGCAATATTTCAAAATCGTTTCTTAAGAAGAAAATCGAATAAAAACTCCGTACTAGAGAGCTGACGTATTTGTGGTTCAAAGGTATAAAAGGGGATTATTTAATCTTACTAATATTATAAATGCAAAAGTTTAGGTGGATGGATGGATGTTTGTTAGAGTTTGTAGCCTAAACGGCTGAACGGATTTCAATGAAATTTGGTATAGATGTAGAGGATAGTCTGGAAGAACATATGTGCTAGTCACTTTTGTTTTTTTTTGTAATTCCACGCGAACGGTGTCGCGGGAGAAAGCTAGTATGTCATAATAGGAAGAGAGTACTAGAGTCTATTTTTTACTCTACTTTTCAATTCTTCGTTCTCATTTTTATCTATCGCTTCGCTAAATATGTTATGAGAAAAGAGAGTTCTCACCAAATAAGACTTGGTAATATTTGCCGAAACATTACACTTATACTTTCGAACGTTCATATATTTGTAAAGTCACGCATCATATTATAACAATTTCACCAATTACGTCTCTCGTGTGATATAAACAATGTAATGTTATATTTTGTGAGATCACATTTTGTGGTATATAATGATATAGAATTAGCGTAGACGTAAACTGGTATGGCAGTTGAGAAAACACGCTTTCGCGAAGCTCCGATATAAATTGTTCCCAGAAGAAAACAATTGTTCAAAACAATGACTTGTGTAGTTCAAGAGCACTCTCTTGTGCGACTTTAACTGAATCTTGTGAAATACGATCTTTTTTATTGGTTGTAATCTGCTTTAAGACCTCTTAAATAACTCTAACAAGAAAACCCAACAGAATTCATACTTGGCAGATATATTAGAGGTGATTTAAAAGTTATTTTAATGTTTCTGGTTCAGAGTTTATAGCTCAAATGTGCATAATAGGTATTTTATAGCATAAAGAGGCAAATGAACTGCAGAGGTCGTGGAATTTTTTTTTAAGAAAAATAAAGTTCAAAGCTCATAAGTTATTGAACTGAAAATATCGCTAAAGTCAGATCATTTCAACATTTATCGGTCCTAAAGCGACGAAAACATATTTTCAAAACTATACAATTGCAGACAGGATATTGAAGCTCTAAAAATACCATAAAAACGTATGTTTTCTTGACATATGCATTGAAAATTCCTTTAGCACTTCTTAAGCGTTTAAAAGGGTTTTGTTAAAAGGAATAAAACAAAAGCTTTTATACCCGAGATTACACTACAGCTACTCGTACATAGCGACCTAAAAGCTAATGGTTGCGTAAGTGCAACCGAAGCTCATCCAAAGTTAAAACGATTTTTAAAACGTAACAAAACTTGTATTAAAAATGTCTTAAGTGATAACTTTTTGCTGCCTTAATTTAACTATAATCTTGATGGATTTTTAGTTAATCTTTAATAGGACCATCCAAAGTAGTTTGTTGTTTATGTCAAACGGCACGCACATTATTATAATGAACTTTGTTCTGGACATCGTTTAAGAAGTAATCTATATTAAGAACTTAATTTTTTGTTAAAAAATAAAATCATCCGATAAATTTGGAGAGAGTAAAAACCCTAAAAATCATATATTCCTTTAAATTATATTAAAAGTAACCAACGCTAGTGTGAATGATAGTAAAATTGTGGTTTGGTTTTAATTAAAAAATACGAAGACTAGATGTTCTAAAACTTTTTAAGTGAGCTTTTTTGAAATAACGAACCTTCGCCCAAGCGAATACCCGCATGCGTAAGCTCATCCCGAAGCGAACCGAGCTTTTATCAAAAGATAAACACATCCCAAACAATGTTATTAAAATATGAAAAGAAAACTCACCAGCAAAAAAGCCATAATATCCGATTATCTTATTAGAATAAGACTTTGATCACTAAATATATTTGATCATCACTCAACAGTCATCACCAGGAAACTCCAGTTCACCTTACATACTTTAGCTTCATATCACAAGATGTTTTTGATAAGGAATTAAGGAGTCATTGCGTGTATTCGACGGCGCGGTCGGTTGTGAACAGTGCGGTATAGCACAGGCAGTTCCCACGTGAGAGAAATGCAACGCAACAATAGTGGAGGCGCCCGAGTCGAAAGGTGGGCAAAAAGCGAATGGGCGCAAGCACCGAGCATTCCGACCAGGGTGAGAGCCTTATACCTGCTGACCCATTTTAACCGCAACTATTGACAAAGCCGTGAAGAATTTTGAACCCCTATTTGAGCTACATCCTCTAAATAAAAAACATCTACCGCTCCGTCAATATTTACGAGCGATTAGATACGAGATTTAAATTTGGTCGTGTTTAACTTGTATTCATATAAAGTTTTTATAACTTTTAGAGCAATGATAAGACAGGTTAAAAAGTTAAAATTCCAGGAGGATTGTAACATAATTGATCTTTTGTTTAACAAATCAATGGCATCATTTTTTGCTATCTCTTAGATAATCTTACGCCACTGTTATTAGACTGATCGGTGTGAAAAGTGTGAGACTTTGTATTTCTAATTAGTATTCAGAGAATTTCTATAGATCATTGTAAAAATTAACAAGTTTACTGCGGCAAGTAAAATCATAATTCTTCATTTGGTGCGGCAGCGGGCCGAAATGCACCCACAATGATATTTCCGCCAGTGCATGGCAGGTCTTTCTAGTCCCACCAGTAATAGTAGGTTAAATCGCTATAACGTTATGGAAACATAATGTATACATTTCATGTAAAGTATACACCTGAGATAATTGTTTCGCACTAACGACAGGGATATAGTTTTCTTCGTCTACACCAGCTTAAATACCGCGTCAGGCCGATATCGGCCTGGTACGTAGTGAGCATTTCAGAAGATTAAAAATTGTTAAATAAGTTATGTAAAAATAACTTAAATTAAGTATGTAAGTAACTAACTTCTTTCTTCCTTTAGTGTTGTTTTCGGTAAACCAAGAATAGAAAAAAAAAAATTCTCAGACAATCCCGTATGAATTACCTCAGTGTGCATTGTAATATGCCAATCAAATAATTACATTTACTTTTTTACACGACATCTTAGTGAATACGAATTGAAATTAAAATCTAGTCAACCGTAAGAGGTTCTGTAATCCAAAACTATTTACGGAAGCAAGATACACGCGTGACAACGATGACCAATGAAGTCATTCGTATTCATGCACTTCTTTTCTAATTGGGCATTACGATTTACTTCGACGTAATACTACTATAGAAACGTATCCGCATATCTTGTTTTATTGACATTATACACTAGCTTTCGCCCGCGACTGCGTCCGCGTAAAAGAAAGTAGCCTATATTTTGTTCCAGATTATGGTCTACATCTATGCCAAATTTCATCCAGATCCGTTCAGCTCTTAAGGGTACAAACTTTAACAAACATCCATCCATCCATCTATACTTTCGCATTTATTACATTGGTATGATATGAAGTGTTAAAAGTAGCTATAATTTTAAATAGTTGGTGTTTTACGCATTTTCCCTTGACTCAGACTTAACAGTAAAAAAAAGTAACTAAAGCAATTACATCCTTTAAGTTTGTTTTCCCTTTAGTTAAGGTTACAAAAAGTATAAAAAAATCGTCGATTAGAATGTTTTTAAATTATTCCCACGTTAAAAACGCTACAAATCAGTAGGTGTCGCATCGGATATAATACGTAAGCCATAATTTACCACAAACGAAGCGTCCGTTCGAAAAGTCCTCTTTTAATTACCATGGTTTTGACTAGGGTTGTAACGGAACTTCGCTTCCGCATCCGCAAGTGAGGAACTTCGGCAAGAAATATTAACTCCTCTTCCGCTTTCATTATTTCTTATGCGGAGTTTTACGGAGGTTACTTTACATCTATATCGCTCATGCGGCCCGCGCGGGCGTGCTAGGTTAACTAACTATAATTGTTTTACATTACATTTGCATAATAAACTGTATCTTGTACTTGTGTACCAATACGTATTTTGAATTAACGTAGTTTTAGTTTTTATTTCTTAATGTTGACCTCCGTTTCTGCAGAGGTAAAGCCCTTCGCCTCCGCATCCGCATCCGCTTCCGTTAAAATGGCCTCCATTACAACCCTAGTTTTGACAGCAATTAAAATTCAAAAACAGATAACTACTGCATTTTTGTTTGATGATAATCTATTATAGAGTCATGTTTTCGTATCCAGTTTATTATTTTAATTTGGTATGCAGTATATGTAAAAAATAATACATACTAAAATTATTTTATTAGCAGCTTTACAAAAAATAGTCTGTCAGAAATTTGGAAGCGAGATAATTTGCTGTAGTTTGCCCTTAACTATCACAATTTTCAACACTTCTTTTAATTTTACTGCTCATGTAGATTATCACATATGAAGATATTTCTAGAAGCAGTGTAAAACACTTTCTAGAATTTCATTTGTTTCCTTATGACATCGAGGTGACTAACAAATAGTTTACATTCAACGCCATGTTCGGTTATGCAGTGAAATTGTGGAATTTCGTGGCCCATCGCTGTGTTTACTAAACTGGTGGCTTTCGCGTATCCTCCCGATGCGATACACGTCTGTTGGGGAAACTTTTACTGCTTCCAATACTTGCTTCACATCACTTCATGACTTTTTAGTTTTAACAAAGTAATTCCTATTGAACTTAGAAATTATATGGAATTTGAAATTAGCCAGTTCAGACAAATTGTAGCAAACTCAAAACTCATGTGAATCGTCTGTGTCTTTTAATTGCTGACCAATTGAAATGTTTTCATTTAAAAATCCAATCTATACTAATAATATAAAGAAAGATTTGTATTTTTGGATTTTTGTATATATTGAAATAGCTCCAAAAATTACTCAGCCGATTTCAAAACTTCTTTCACCATTAAAAACTGTGTTATCAGTAACATAGGCTATGTTTTTTTTTACGTTCACTCGGGCGAAGTCGCGAGCAACGGTCTAAAAATAAATGAGTGTTCGGTATTTATGTGCGTATTGCTATACTTTAAAGTAAGGTTTTAATGGTTAGATATAACCTAATTACTTTTAGCCGTTGAAACGAAAAATCTTACCAATCTGACTATCGTATTCTACTTATCGAGACAAAATTATAGTTATTTGAGTTCCTGAACACAGAAAGTGACATCCAACCTCGACCTTTGTGACTTCAAGAACATACATTTTTATCAAATAAATAATGTTAAAACAACAAAGTTAAGTAACGCTTTTATCCTGAAGGATTATTAATGAAACTGAACACATCGATACATTTCGTTGTTATTCTAATTGCATAATGTTGCAAAAATTCTCGTTCGAGAATACGCAGTCCGCGCACAGGCGGTCGAAAGTCGCGAAAACACGCACAGCGACAAACGCTAGTCATGTTAATGACAAAACCAAATGGCTTAACATATTCATGACACGTGTCTTTAAACTTTTCGTGTTTAATATGTATTTATTTGGTTACAACACAAGCAATTATTAATCAATCGACATCCAAACATTGAATCAAATGACAATCAAAATTGTCAATATTCGTGAGACGGGGCCATATGAAGTTACAAGTAGTGCTGGTGATAGGGTACAAGAGGCCGTCCTAAGTCTACGAATAACATAGTCTCGCGTATCCCTGAAAGGCCTTATAAAAACACTTTCAAAGAGTCTTCTATTCAGTTCTCACGCGATCTTACGATGCCACACAAACGCATGCTCATCTTAAGTACGAAATTGTTTAGAACTTTTCTTTTTATCGATGACCATCCAAAACCGGTCACTGTTTGTTTCATGACACAACAAATAGTTTTGAGTTTAGTATCGCACTCGAACAAAAATATATTGTTGTCTCTATATATTGTATAAAGAGTGAAGGAGATAACAACATTTCTTGTATTTCGGATTCCATCCTTAGGTTCTTATCTCCACGTAATGCTACGATCACTAAATAATGTTTGGATGCGTCTGAACGTTTCGATAATGCATTTGATATTAACAAATAGCAGTTATAAATATGAATCCATAAAAATATGAGATGAAGTACTAAATATTAGTTTTAGGCGGAGCTAATCGATCGTGTCACCGGAGACACAAATGAAAGCACATAAGATAAACTTAGAGCATATTTTATTTAAACATTCTTATGAATGTAGAGTCGGTGTAAATAAATATTTTAGTTAGAACGTTCACACATCTTTGATTGTACTATCGCATAACTGTTTAGTCTCTCTTTGATTTCTAAGAGCTTATATGGAGGTCATCGATGACACTACTCAATTTTCAGTTTTGCAACCAAACAATTGAATTGGCTGGGAAACAATCGTCAATCGCACAACGGTTGTGCGATAGTTTATTCAAAGGTGTACGCCCGCTCTTGAACAATTTGAATTATTATCTTTCGCTAGCAGAAGTGTTAAATGACCAATTAAATCGTGGCAAACTAAATCATAGTTTCAATAACTAAAATAAATCTCTTGATGTAGGCAGGTAGAGCATTTATGTGTTTTGTACCGAGAAATCTTCAGCAAATGTTCTACTAACTAAATTTATAAAGCCATTCCACAGTTTTTTTGTTCTGTTCACGGAAGCAGTATTTAAGCGGTGTTCATTCAGTATCGTTGAAAACAATAACATCATTGAGAATCGTCTCAGACACTTTCCGAGAACTTAAAACAACTAAGATCCGAAGTATCAAAGTGTACCTTATTTCAATATGCTAATGCATATATTTATATAAATGTAACATAGTAAGATGTGCATATTTGGACGTGTTGCTGATGAATTTGACCTTGATACCGTCATGAGAGTAACTCTCAACGTCTATTGTCTTGTTTCATTCACTTTTTACTACATGTGATCAAGTTTCTCGTGATTACCACGTATTTAGCAGACAACTCAGTCCACGATAGTGTGCAAATTTTCCTAAGCTTACTATAACAAAATAACTGGAATACAACAGTTCATTCCAGTGATTTTCATTTTACCAGCAGAAATAGCGTTGGATTCGATCTCTGGACATGAATAATGTAAAGTGAGCTTAAAGGAATTAGACTGAAGAGTTTTTGCTCAGTTACTTTTTAATTATATTGACAATGACAATGACAGTTCAATAAATGTTCAATGAGAGAAAATAAACGAGTTATAATGTAATGAATTTATTAAATAGGTATATATTATTCGTCCAATATATTGTGATAAGATTCGTTCCTCAAGCGATCAGTGTTAAGACATACGAAGTGAGACGTATCAATGAATCTGCGTATTTGGTAACGAGTTTTCCCGAATACGATTATGGAACCTCCAGAGGGATCGACTTGAACTCCGACGCCAAAGTAGTTTCTATGGATGATCAGAAAAAAGTGTTGAAAAGTGGCCATAACATTGGCGATAACAGTAATGGGATATCTATGGATGAAAACCCACACAAACATAAGCAGAAAATATCACCGTTCGCTATCAAAGATGCGAGAAAAAGTTATTTTAAGAATTTTTATGCAACAATGAGAAAAGTTCCAATTACTACTTTAGCTTCCTCAGCGTCGCCGACTTACTCTGGGTTATTAGATTCAGATTTAAAAGATTATAAAGGAGCCATTGTGCCAGTGGATTCGAATCTCATAACGGCCAGAAAACTGGCGTCAATATTAGTCTATGAACTTCAGTACAGCGATCAGGAATACTTAAAAAATATGGAACGGATCAAAAGAAGAAGAAATCGTAAATAAATTATGTAAACCATTGGTATAGCTTTTCTATTTTTACAATGTATTTTATTGTGTTATATCTAAAAATATCAATTTTATCCTTTCATCTGAAACGAGTATTGTAAATTTTCTTTTTGACTTCCTCGCCTTCAGTTAACTCTGATTTTCTTTTAGCCTAGACACTTAAACTAGTTAAAGATCCTTAAGTTTCTGCTTAGGTTATGATCACACTAGCACTACTACCTTTTGATGCATACAGGTCTGATTACCGGCTCCAAGAGCCTATGACATGAATAGGACGTACTTTACGGAAGACTTATAAAACAATATAAACACGAAAGTGATCTAGTTCCCGTTGTGGGAACCTGGCACAATGAGTATCGGTTATCCTTTTTTCGGGGAAGCCTCTAAAATTATATTACTATTATTGAAACTACTGGACGTTTTGCTACTAAAAGTGATAATGAATATATATGTACTTATGTCTGTAATTTTAATGTAACAATTTACTTTACGTCAAATTGATAAGTAAACTGTCGACTAATATTGCCTTTGAAACTAAAACGTAATGTGAGGAGGTAAATACAAGGCACAATCATATTATCATACTAACATTATAAATGCGACTTACATACATGGATGGATGTTTTTTAGAGTTTGTAGCCTAAACGTCTGAATAGATTTCGATGAAGTTAGGTATAGACTAGCTTTCGCCCGCGACTCCGTCCCCGTGGTATTGAAAAAAAAACAAAACCAAGTAGCCTATGTGTTCTTCCAGACTATCCTCTACATGTATGCCAAATTTCATTGAGATCCGTCCAACAGTTTAGGTACAAACTCTAACAAACATCTATCCATCCATCCATCCATCCATCCATCTAAACTTTCACATTTATAATATTAGTATGATGTAGAGGAGAACACATAAGTCTGGAAGAAGACATAAGCTAATCACGTTTGCTTTCATTTAATTTCACGGGGACGGAGTCGCGGGCGAAAGCTAGTAAATACATAGTTAAAATACATCATGTTCATCATAATAAAGCTAGACCTTTGATTTGTTTCAAGTTCTATAGGCTAACTAATTTAAGAAAATCATAATCAAACTCAAGTTAGTCTAAGAGTTCTGAATGTAATATAATCTTTGCCAACTATTTACTTACTTTTATCTTTAACGTTATTACTTATTACACTTTTATAATGTTTACCCTAGATTTAGTCAGCTTACAGTTCATCCCGTAATTAAACTCTACGATAAAGTATCGAGATACGAGAGTAGAGTCGCCAGATAACTCCGTTTTCTCTATCGATATTGGATGCATATTCTATAATCACTAGTTACAATATAAAATTAAATTATTAGGTAAACTTAAAGAATCATTTTAATTAAAATATAAAGTTTCTTAAATTATAAATTCTATGTCTCAAATTATTTTTGCAACAAGCTGAATTTGCGTTTTGATGTGGACTCTATCGTGTTATACTTTCTTCCACCGAGTTATATACAGTTTGAACAGAACTGCTTTTACGATAGACAATTCTAGAAAATCCTTATGACGACTAACGTAAGATTATTGCTGTTTATATGCCTTTGTGTGCTGTTGTTATACAAATCTAGATAATGTAAACACTACACGCAACCTGGGTTCTTTCGAGTCTTAGGTTTTCACAGGCTCAAAGGCGAGAAATAATATAGGTACATAATTTAAATAATATGAAATAAACATTTAATCCTTGACAAAAGTTGTAGTAAAAATGCTTTATTACTTTTAAATATGTATTAAGGGTTCACTTAAGCTTCTCCCAGAGAGAGAACATAACTTTAAGATTTCTTCCTATGAACTTACTGTGATAATAAACATACTATTAAGTATAAAGTCCATTTTCCTTTGGATTCTTCTGTTTATTTTTTCCAATATCTTCAATGTTAACGCAACTTAAATTAAGTTTTCAATACAATATTATTACGCAGTTGGGCAAGTATAAGATGTAGTGGTGCACACTGCTTTAATTGGATCAAAGACGGATATACTGGGGCATGTGTATTCATATTGACCGTAAGATCCGTCGTTTTGTAGAATACACATATAGTACGTCTGGCATGTTGTATCAGCAGTGTTCGCAAATCTCCCGGCTGCTGTACAAACCATGACAGTTGTCGCGTCTGTAGTAGTAACAGTAGTCGCCGCGGTAGTCGTAACAGTTGTTGCTGCGTCAGTAGTGGTAACCGTTGTCGCATCAGTCGTCGTAACCGTTGTCGCATCAGTCGTGGTAATAGTTGTGCCATCAGTCGTGGTAGCGTCAGTTGTGGAAACAGTAGTCGCGTCGGTCGTGGTAACAGTTGTCGCGTCAGTAGTTGTAACAGTTGTCGCGTCAGTTGTGGTAACAGTAGTTGCATCAGTAGTTGTAACAGTAGTCGCGTCGGTCGTGGTAACAGTTGTCGCGTCAGTAGTTGTAACAGTTGTGGCGTCAGTAGTTGTAACAGTTGTGGCGTCAGTGGTGGTAGCGTCAGTTGTGGTAACAGTAGTTGCGTCAGTAGTTGTAACAGTTGTCGCGTCAGTCGTAGTAGCGTCAGTCGTGGTAACAGTAGTTGCGTCAGTAGTTGTAACAGTTGTCGCGTCAGTCGTGGTAGCGTCAGTCGTGGTAACAGTAGTTGCGTCAGTCGTTGTAACAGTTGTCGCGTCAGTAGTGGTGACAGTAGTCGCGTCAGTCGTGGTTACAGTAGTTGCCGCCTCAGTAGTGGTAATGGTAGTTGCCGCGTCAGTGGTCGTTGTAGTAGTATCCGCATCCGTGGTTGCCGTAACAGTAGTCGCAGCATCTGTAGTCGTTATAGTAATAGTTGTATCGGCGCTGTGTACTTGCCATGATAGAGACAGCACCTTTAAAAATAAAATAATACTGTTAAACTGTAATATTTCATGATTTACATGAATTGCGTTGTCGAGGTAAAATCCCCTTGCAATGAAATATTACACTGTACTTAAATTTTATCTATCACTTTGGCAAACTTTAATCACATAACACAATTTTCTTTAAAACTCCTTTCGAAATTACAAATAATTACTTACTAAAATGATGACGATATTCCATCGACCGTACATTTTTAGTTTCTTTCTAAATCTCCATAAAATTTTCTAAGTGCGAATCTTTTATATCTCGAGACAAGATAAAGGGGATTCGCAACAATAAAAATATTATGATCTTATATTTATTTGCTAGACTAATGCATCATAGTGCAACAACATTTCTATATGTTTATTTCCTGATTAATTTATTTAATGGTTAAATTCCAGAGAATAATATGTTTCTATTATACTTTTCTTTAAGATGTTAATGCCAGCAGCAAGCGATAAAGGACAAAAGGGAATCTTAAACATATTGTGTTATAGTACCTTCAAGACTCATTGTTTCTGATTTCTGACCTTAGTTACCAAACACACATTTTTACTCTGTGGTACACAGTTACGTGTTTACGCAAGGTCCAAAGGACGAAAATGCAATGAAGATTCCTTTTTCATAGCAATAAAATAATTTCAATCTGCACAGTCGAAAGAGTTATGTTATAATAAAATTATAATTTTATGACGGATAGGTTACCGCTTCTTTTAAAGCTATTCATCTAGATAACATGGCAGTATGTTACCACAGCAGAATTTAGCTTAATGAAAAGTTTTCTTGAATATCATAAACCAGTGCTTGACCATGATCCCACTTGATGTTGACTAGTGTTGTGGTCGACGATCGTCTTTTACAATTTTATTTAGTCATATGTGAAAAATGTAGAACAAGGAACATAACATCACAACAAACGGTCTCGTCACAGCGCAAGTAAAGCCTGAATCATGTGCAAACAACCGAGCCTTATCTTATAGTGATGTGAAAGGTATATCGACAATTTAAGCTGGTTTTAGATTATTCTCTTTTCGCGTTTTGATACTTTAAAACATTTTTACTTTTCATAAACGAATATGAGAATTAAACATTTTCAGCCTTGCAAATAAACGCGGTATAGGCAAAATTTGTACTAATATTTGATTATACTCAGATTAACTTTATACCGCGATTCTAATTAAAATCTGTTCCAAATGCTCCATTGACACATTTTATACGGAGAGTAATAAATCGATCCAAAATAAAGTTCTTAAAAAGTCCAAATAGAACTTCGCCTTTACGATTCCATGTGATTATGTCGATAAATGTTCACTAAATTTTGTCACAACACTAAAGTTTCCATCCGCCTTTTATAGGACTTGGCGTTCTGATACGGCTCTACTGCACTACAAAATAGATATTAAAAAAAAATACTGTCTCAAACGCAGTGGGACTTTTTTGAAAACAAAATTGAAATGATTAATTAAGTGACGTATTAAAACTTAAATAAAGTAGTCATGATTCATAAGTGGTTACTTATTTATCTCTGGGTAAGTTTTAATCGCAATTAAATTGAATTATGTTTTTCTCTATAATTCATAATGTGTAAAAGATACGTTTCGTGGGAATTTATTATATTAGTTTGACTTTATTAAATTTAAAAACAATATAATAAACATAACCGATGTGTTTACTTCTTACTGAAGTGATTGTAAGTAGTCCAAACTTAATTCAATTACCTTGCCTACATGAATTTAGTTTGCTACACACAGACGCTAAACAAACTTCGTAAAATACCGCAATAATTTTATTTGACGGCGTTTTTTGTGCGTATATTAAACAAGGCAGTAATCTGCTAGCAATTCTTATGAAAACATAATAAGCCTACTAACTACGGAAAAAGTATCGTTATGTGTAACTAAGATAAGGAAATTGTAACATTCTAAAAAATAGTAACTGCTTGATAAGCGAATGTTGGTAATTAAATGTTCATCACCAATTAAAGGGTGATTTGAACCATTTAATAGTAAGAGTTGTAATGTTTGTTATTTATTTGTTACTATTGCAGGTACTCTGGCAAATTGTTAATGGCGACAACCAATGTGTAACTCGTGGAAGATTTCCTAATCGAATAGACAATTGCCGAGGTTACACCATGTGTATTAACGGCCCCAGCGGCTTCATAGAATACAACCTCACTTGTCCAGAGTCCTTTATATACAGCCATTTAGAAAACCTCTGTACAAACGTGACTAGTTACAAATGTATGCCGGAATTCAATTGCACGGAAGCAGGAAAGTTCGAAGACGATAATGTACATTGTACATCGTTTATGGCTTGTGTAGAAGGTATAACTGGTCTAGTCGACGCAAGATGGTCCGAATGTCCTCACGGAACAGTATTTAATCCAACCGACAAGAAATGCGTAAATGAAACTTCATACAGTTGTCATAAGGTCGATGATTCGCCGACTATTCTTTCTATTTTGATTAATAATGCACCAATATTTACTGCAAATTTTACTATAAATGTTGCTTCTAGTTTAAGTTACCCATATATTACTGTGTATGGGTTATCATTATCTATATTATTCTCTAAAATAAATTGTTAAGACTTTTTTCCTGATTTTTATTTTAAATTCAACCCTACTGAACTTGCATACAATGATTTTTGATAGATTTAATTTTTACATTCACAACACAAAAATCATTTGTTTTATATAATCTATTTTCAATACTCTTTTTTGTCATTTCACAGTTCCGTCAACCGTCAAAGTCAAAGCTTAATTGTCACTGTCATTTCAAGTTTCTGATTTTTGGAGACTTGAAATAGTGATTGAATGATTTTAAATTAAAACCTACATTAAAATACATAGAACGGAAACTGACAGAACAACATTAAAAATAAAATAAAATACATTCGTTTTAGATGTACTCGCAAATAGTTTTACCGAGGTAATTCGTATTTTTAGGTTATGTTATGCTTTGATTATGATCAACTTTTCTGTGTTTATAAATGATCTAATTAAACGCGTCATTTTTTTAGGCAATGGTCGAGATTAGTACATATTTGCCGAACTATTGCGACCTTAGAAGGTCAAAAAATTCCTCAAAACAGTTCCTCGAGTGATGGCATTTCACCGCCACCGCGAATCCACAGAGGACCAACTGATATCCTGCAAGCACTGGCTGCCACAGTCGGCCCTGATCCAACTGCAGCACATTACAAGTAACATAAGGAAACATTATTTTTAACATAATACGTCTTGCCTGGTCTTTTTAACACTAAACAGTAATTTTAAATATAAAAGTGTTGTATAAAACATACAAAACATTTGTAGTGTGTCCTGTTTAATATATAATTTCAGATATCATGATGACCCCTATTTGATTCCTCTGTCAAACTTCCGTAAGCGGTCATATGCACTGTCGGCCGAGGCTGGTAGGAAGGCTGCAGCTTGGATTAGAGATGAACATTCAATTTTGTTCACTATGCGAGAGTGGGATCCAGCGAGCAAGAAGAAAACTCCATACTTCAATGCTGATCCTAAAATAGATGCATTTGCTCCTAAACCAATATACAATGATACTAGTAAGGTAATAACACACACATGTGATTGCTTACATCCTACATAACAGAAAAGTGTGTTTATGTTTTATAATATTAGTATAGTTATAGAAAAACACATGCAAATATCAATTTGACTAAATCTTTTACATAGAACTAGTTGTCTGTCTAAGAGTCTATGATATAAGTAAAATAAATGCATTGTTTGCTTAGCTATAAAAAAATTATGATTTACAGGTAACTGAAGAAGACTTCAAATACACATTACAAAATGCACTAGTTGAAGATGCAATAAAAGTTTTTGAACTACTCGGTGGAGTGCAGGCTTTAAGTGAGGAACTGAAAATAGAATTTCTTCAATTACTCTGTTTTTATAATGAGAAGGAACCTCTAGCGATGGAGTGGTTAGAAGAAAGATGGTTTGCAGCAAAGACAAGGGATAGACATTCTGCTACATGGAAGTAAGTTTTTATTTGCCAATTTTAATGATGACATAAAATTTTATACATATCTACTTTAGCCTTGTTAACTGTTTAAATAAAAGAATACTTCTAGTTATTTCCTTAGTAAGCTCACATTCTAACAAACACTTTTATAATGAAGTCAGAATGTGTTGAAATAGAACAAATTCATTTCCAAGTATCTTCATACAGCAGTGTTTATAAAACGCGAAGCTTTTTAATCATGTAATGTTACATTTTGACTTCTTGGCTTTTGTTATTAAAATAGCACCTATTTGAATGAGTGTAAAATGTTGTCATTGTGTGAAAATTTAATATCATTATTTTAATTACTTCAATGGCTCCTATGCATGTAGTTACCTAGAAACTACACTTTTTCAAGAGACACATTACCTATATTAAGCTTATGCATATTCCCCATTTATTTTATAGTTTTGTATGTTACAGGTTAGGTGGCTTGGCAGATAGTATCTTTACTTCAATGGAACCAAAGACACCAGAGGCCTATTGTGCCATTATTCAAGGAATGGCAAAATATTATCAAGTAAATATTTTATTATCTCAAAAATTCGATTTAAAAGCTTCTACACATGCTAAGTTCTAACAGTTGTAATTAAACAACTGAACAGATCAACTGTCAGTTATAATTGTATACATGCACAATTTTAACTAACCAGTTTTACTCTTTAGGTAAAAGTCGGTAAGAACTGAGCATCTGTAGCAGACTTTCAGATTTCGTCCAGGTGAAATTTAAAAAATATGGCGTTACTCAGAGATAATGTAGCTTACTAATGGTGAAAGAATTTTTGAAATTAGCCCAGTAGTTTTTGAGTTATTTCAATACATATAAAAATAAAAAATCTTGGTAATGTTAGTATTAAATAATTTGTTCCATAGTCTTTTTTGTATGTGCTATAAGTAATATTACTTATGATGTTAATTTTTTCTTTCAGGCAGAAAGGGCTCATGCATTAGCTCAGGAAGCAATGGAGAAAGGCATACCTCTCTCTACCAGTGTATTTAATTCACTTATAAGTTGTGTTGGATTCCTTAAAGAGGGTACTACATTAAGAATTGAGGCGTTAAAAACTTTGTTAATACAAATGAATGAACAAGTAAGTGAAAAATGTCTATATTAATACACTAGATATTGCTCGCGACTTCGTCCGCGTGAAATTAAAAAAATAACCAAAATATAGCCTATGTTACTCATATATAAATTACCTTTCTAATTGTACACAATTAAACATAGGCTATATTAAGTAATTTCTAATTGTTTAAGAATTTTTGAAATTGGCCCAGTAGTTTTTGAGTTATTTCAATACATACAAAAATACAAATCTTTCCACTTTATAATCTTACTAATATTATAAATGCGAAATTTTAGATGGATGGATGGATGGATGGATGAATGGATGGATGGATAGATGGATGGATGGATGGATGGATGGATGGATGAATGGATGGATGGATGGATGGATGGATGGATAGATGGATGGATGGATGGATGGGTGTTTGTTAGCGTTTGTAGCCTAAAGGGCTGAACGGATCTCTATGAAATTTGGCACAGGTTTAGAGCATAGTCTGGAAGAACACATAGGCTACTTTTTATCCCGGGAATAGTCACGGTTCCCGAGGGATTCATTAATTTAGTTTTTTAATGTTTACTCGATCATTCTGCAACGGTTTAACATATCTTATTGAAATTTGGCACAGATATAAATCAATGTCTGGAGTACACATGGGATAAGCTTCATCCCCGAGAAATGTCCGGTTCCCGATGGATACGTAACTTTTTGTAATTTATATAGTTTGTATGTTTTCTAATACCACGCGGATGAAGTCGCGGGCAAGAGCTCGTATTAGTATAAATCTGTAAGGCGTTATACATTAATAAATTATTATTTATGTTGTATGTTATAGGGTTTATCACCGGACCAAGGGACTCTGTGTTCATGTCTGCGGTCCATATCGGCCTGGGGCGGAGGACATGTTCTGCAACAAGTTGCATTACAAGTGGTGGCGGAGTTCCAACAGATAGGTCTCCAACCTGGACTATCAGCATATTACTATCTGCTCTGCTTGTTCTGCAAAGACCGTGAGTATACATAGTTTTTAACCAAAGGCATTTAAGAAATATATTGACAAGGCATACTGAACAATTTTTTTCACCGGTGCTTTCTCTCAATGGTCCTATATTACTTGTCAAGTTTACTTCACGAAGCCCTTGTATTAACACGTAAGATTACTTGGTCCAGCTTTTATCAAAATGAGAAACTACCGAGTAGTTTTAGAGTTTTACTGAAAGTCGGAAATTTTTAAAGTCGGTTTTCGTTTTTTTTTAAATAATATTATTTAATTATCTTTTTGTTTCAACTAATTGTTTTTATATTTCCGTCTCTTAAGCCATAAGATGAGAAAATTTATACAGTTTGAAATTATTGTATTTACAGGTGGCCCACAAATAGATATTCTAACAGCAATTATTAATGATTTGGAGAAAAGAGAAAGTTTACAACCGGAGGACGCGACCGATACTAACTTCTTTATTACTGCGATGGGAGTTTGTAGCGACCATTTACAGGTAAAAATTAGAATATTGACATAAAATTAGTGAATACTTAATCTATACTGCTATAATAATATTAAAAAGAGGAAAGATTTATTGTATTTTTGTATATATTGAAATAACTCAAAAACTACTAAGCCGATTTTATTAATTTTTATTTCACTATTATAAAGCTAGGTTATCAGTGAATATCATAGGCCATGTTTTTATTTATTTATTACTTCCACGCGGTCAATGTCGCGAGCAACAGCTAGTTTTATTATAATTTTTAAGCCGCACGGAAATATTTTATTTTGTATATAATCGATTATTATAGTTATTTTTATTTTATTAGGATATCAGTTTAGCGGAGAGGCTGCACAAGTTGTTAATGCAAGGTGACAACTACAAGCTAGTCGGTGACGCATACAAAGAGAGTATTTACTATCGGCATTACATCACTGTTTCTTGCAGGTATGTTATTTAATTATCACCCTGTATATTATGATCTGGTTTTGTTCTCCAGCTTAATCTTCTGTTCTCTTCTTGATTGTCTCAGATACCATGCTGTAGTTTTATTAAAATTTTCTACCCATGGTGCCATTTTCTGACTTAATGTTCTTATATGTATGTAGTTACAGAAAAAAATTCCGCACATCCTAAACAATTTTAAATAGGGTTACTTTTCATAGTAAAAGTTTATTTGAAAACTTAAAATTTCACTAATTGAATCAACACTTTATATTACTTACCGAAATATTTGAAAAATACAAATCAATACTTAATAGAATTTGATAACCGATAAGAGGTCCTGTCTCCTGAAACAAGTTGCATAATTATTTCAGGAGACAAAGCCGCAGTGAATTTTCTAAAAATGTTTTTTTTGTCCAATAAATAGTTTTGTTTGATTTTCATTTTAATACCTATACTTATCCATTAACGAAGGTTTTTTTTTTTAATCATAATTTTTTTTTTTGTAGGCACGCTCCATTCGAAAAGACTCTAGAACTTCTCGACACGTTGGTGCCAAACGTTTATGTTCCCGAACCTACTGTCATGGAAGAGGTGATATAAAATATTTTATTTAGAATAAATACATTTAAGAAATATATAGACTAAACATAGTGAACATTTTTTTACCAGTAACTTCTAGCCAACTTCTGCCAGCGACCTTTCAATCAATATCCCGTTCAAATCGGTCCACCCCTTCCAGAGATAGCGGTCCGACCATTTTGACAGCACGGAATTTAAAAAAGTAGCCTATAATGGCCGTCTATGTCTGCTACCCTTCGGTGAAAGTCCGGTCGAAATCGGCACAGCCGTTTCGGAGATTGCCCAGATCAAATGCGGCTTGCGGACAGACAGATAGAAAGACGAAAATTTTTAAAATGCGGTTTTCGTTATCAGCAACGCAAATACATTATCTTCCCGAAATCTGGGATTTTTCTTTTGATATTACAATCAGACACAAATTTTATTATATGTATAGATTTGTATATTTTTTAATTTGTTTGTATATTTTATAGATAATAAAGCGGCTGGAGGCGGGCGGCGCGGGCGAGCGGCTGTCGCAGGCGTGGTCCCAGCTGGTGGTGTTCGGGCACGCCAAGCGCGTGCGGCTCGTCGAGAGGCTGCTGGACGCCTTCTGCAACTGCTATCACTATCAAGGTATCATCATCATCATCACCACCACCACCACCACCACCACCACCACCATTATCATCATCATCATTATCCTATTTAACTGACATGCATAATCTCCGAAACTGCTGGGCTAATTTCAACTGGAGGGTAGCTGACATAGACGGGCATATTATGCGCTATTTTTATCTTAATATTGCGTGGACGAAGTTGCGGGCGACAGCTAGATGGCTATACAAAGACATTCAAGAAAGTTAAAGAAAATCTTTTGTGTATTTTTTTCTTTATTTAAAATTAAAAAGTCAATGTTTTGTTACAGATGAAGAAATAAAAGCAAAGATTCGATTAGCCGCCGGCGATATTCTTAAGTTTGGTCAAATTGCCGAGGAGAAGGAGGAAACGGGAGAAATCAGATCACCAGTACAAAAGTATGTATATTATAAATGCGAAAGTTTAGATTGATGGATGTTTGTTCGAGTTTGTAGCTTAAACTAAACGGATCTCGATGAAAATTGGCATGAATGTTGGTGATAATTTGGAAGAACACATAGGCTCCTCTTTTTTTTTTAATTCCACACGGACGAAGTCGCGAGCGAAAGCTAGTATTAGTATAGATTATGTATTTTATAGGTTATCAGCCACAGCGATGTGTAACATAATAGAGCTGTGCTCGGACGTGCGGGAGAAGGGCGAGGCGGGATGGGAGCAGGCGGCGCAGGCGCTGGCGCGGCTGCGCGGCGGGCAGGCGGCCGGCGTGCCCGCGCGCCCGCACCTACTCGCACAAGTCGCTGAGCGAGCGGCCGCCGTCGGCAGACCTACTATAGCAGCTGTCAGTATAGTACACGCCACATTGGAAGGATTTTTTATTTATTTACTTTACTACTATAAAGTATATCTATAATGATTTTTTTATTAATATGATTTAGAAGCGAAATTTAATAGTTCAAAAGTTTTTTTTTAATCTTCTTGTCAAGTTCTAAAATGCAACATTATTAGCCGAAGCAAGTTATAGTTGAATTTAATCATTTTTGGTCATTCTGAGAACCATTCAAATTGATGACGTCACAACACTCCGGTACATTCCAGCCGCGTTTTAGTCGCACGAAAATTGCTGTGCTTTTATTTTATTTTTTTTAGCTAAATAGTTGTTTCTTAATGTTATTTTTTTTTTCTAGTTATCTTAAAACAAGTAGAAACGTTTAGAAATATATATGCATAGTCGCTAATATACGACTGTTCTCGCTCCACTATGTACATACTTTATTTTAAAATTCAATTCTATATATCATCAAAATTAATATTTGATTTAAATTAAAAAAAAATAAAACCTATTTTCACTAAGCGCACCGACGTTTTCTCGTCCTTTTACTCCTTATAAAGACCTGAACAGCCATTTTTTTAAATATTTTGTTGTTGTGATTGTTCAGGCGGCAGTAGGCTACCTGTCGGAGTGCGGGTTCGAAGAGGCGATGTCGGCGAGCGTGGCGACGCTGCGCGTGATGCTGAACAGGTCGGAGGAGGAGGTGCAGCAGCTGCTGCAGGACAAGAGCAAGCTGACCGCGCTGCACCCCACCGCACTCGCCGTGGCGCAGGCTTACCATGAGTAATTAACATTATTTATATAAATACAGGGTGTCTTATTACCAAAAAAAATGCATGTTACAGATACTGGTATTTCCAAAAAAAATTAAAACTGATTTTTTTTGTAGATGTACTACAATTTTATTTAAATCTTACTCATATAAAGGCAATCGTTTGAATGGATGGATGTTTGCTTGTTAGAGTTTATAGCCTAAACTGAACTGATCTCAAAGAAATTTAGCATGTAGTCTGAAAAATATATATATATACGCCACTTATGTTTCTTTATAGTTTTTTTTTATGTTTTTAATAAGAAAAATGAAGGCATATATTTATGCTATTCACAGTAATGCAATGCATAGATAACATTTTTTACTATTTTATCTGTACAATTTTCTAACCTATTGTATATGTATGCATTTATGTAACTGATTGTACGTACCTTAAATACCGCAAATTAAGACGAGTATACATTTTTTTTGTATATAGTTACATTATTTTTACAGAGTAAAATCGGGCGCAACATTACTCCAATCGGATTCCTCTACGAGTTCGGAGAGCGACAGCGAGACCTCGGATGATGATTGTTAATATACCTCCTAATTGTATGTAGAATTAAATGTTAATTAGAATAAATGCATTTTTTCTGTCCTGTTTTTAATCTTTGTAATCGTTATACTCTATGCCAGAGGTGACCAACATTTATGCATCAAAGTGCCATTTTTTAAAAGATTTTTTAATGCGGTCACCCTTGCTCTATACTATTGTTTTTGTTTGTATTGAAATAATTCTAAAACTACAGGGCGAATTTAAAAAAAAATTTCACCATGAAAAGGCTACGTTGTTACTGAGTAACAGGCCTTTTTGTTTTATTTTTTTTAATCTCACGCGGACTAAGTCGCGAGCAACATTTAGTTTGTAATAAAGTTACGACAATTACACATAAGATTCTTTTTCTCTGGTCGAAATTTACAAGTCCTGTTTCCGTGGTGCCTTTAATATTGTTAGGATTAATTTTGCTTAGTTTAAAGAATGTTTTGAATATATCAGTTTTGTATAAAATTCTCCGAATGTTTCCTAACGGAATATTCAGATGTAATCCGTTATTGATCAATATGCAACTTTCTCCTTATTTGTAATACTTACAAATTTAAAAGATTGTTAACTTGTTTGTAAACTGGAAATATTTTGAACCAATACTTAATGTCTAAGCGATTTTAGTATTTATTACCATATAAGTATAAGCCAGAAGAAATTCAAAGATATGTGTGAAGTCAACCAACCCGTAGTGGACCAGCGTGGTGGACTATGGCCTAATCACCCTAACTTAGGGCAGGCTCCGAGCCACTCGGCGGGAACATATAGTGAGTTGGTGATGAAGATGATGTTGATAAGCCATAATAAGGATTAAAGATTATAAACCGCTAATAGAATAATTAACATAAATAAACAAGAAATTTCTAGAACACTAACATAAAACATGTAGTTGATATTGATAATTATTATGAAGGATATTATTTGTTTATGAAATATGATGAAGCTGTTTTGTAACTGAAATCTTAGACGACTAATTAAAAACAAATAATATAGATATAGGAGAAACAAAACAAGTGATTGTAGTTATTAGTGTTAAACGTATTAAAAAAATCTCAGCAGATTTAGAAATTATTATGGGAAGTGGGACTCGAACTACTATATTTTTAAAACACATGTTTTTTAGAATGCCAATTCTCAGGTCCACTGTAGGTATATTGTGCTATTGTTATATGCTCTATGGTTATCTGGGGAAGAAAAATGAAATGACACCGCATGACCGATTAGGTGCTGTCGTTTATCCTTTAGGCTGTCGCAATGGATTTTTCATACATAAAAAGAAATTTACATACGCGCGAAAAATTACCCTTTTTGTCCGACGCGTAAACAGTATTTTAGAGTTTAGAAAATAGATTTAAATATTTTTTGCCGGTTATTATTTTTAACCGCTAGCATGTGTAACATTCATAAAAGGCAAAGGTGTGTCGTTTGTGCTAGTGACACAGATTTATTTCTCATGTCGGAGAGGTGTTAAAAACGATAATTGCCCGCGAAATGGCGACTTTAGAAGAAAGCATGTTATTTCGTTAGTCACCTTTCGCCCGTCCCCTGAGTAACCTTGGCTTTGAGGATAGAATTTATTTTTTATTGCGGATTACGATGCGGAGTAAAATGTTTGGTTACTTCCTGTTTTGGTTTATCTTGGTAAGTTTTTTTTTAAATTAATTAATTAAAAATAACGTTATATTAGAAAACTTAGATTATTTAGACAAATTAAAAATTTCTTTTGAGTGATTTTATTTTTATGTTAAATTCAAATTTAGTATTTTTTTAAATTAATTGTCATATATTTACTAATTTTTACAATCTTAATTTATTTATGTAAATAAATGATGCATGCAATGAAAATGTTCATTAAACTAACTTAAAACTTCTTCAGGTTGTTACGCCGTCTAATTTGTTAGCAGCGTATGTAACAAAAAGCTTTGACTGTGGCCCCTACGGCTTCGTCTGCGAAGGAACCACTAAACTGAGGCTTTGTGAAGGAGACAATTTATTAGGGCCAGCATTCAGATGTCCAGCAAATACCGTTTGTAACGAAGACTCAAGTGACGTCTGCGAAAATACGATAAATAACATAGATCCAGCGATAACTAGGACAGTTAGATGTCATCGAAATGAGAGAATTGCAGACCCAACAGTCGCTGGATGCAAAGGATATATTCTCTGTATACCTAACAAGAACAGATTCCAAGGTATTAAGTTCAAATGTTCTGGAAACACAATATTCAACGGCTATACACGAACTTGCTCGTCGCCAGACAAATACAAATGTCCTTTGACGAATTTAACGAAAACAACTTCAACATTTTACCATCAAGATAATCGGAGAATGGATACTATAGAAAATATAAATTATGGCAACTCAGATATGAGTTCGCACTGGCATAGACCTATTGATTGCAAGAATTATAAGTTCGCTGTTACTCAAGATCAAAGTCCGGTTCGTGCGACATATTTTTGCCCATCCCGTCCAGCTGGCGGTGAATCCGCAATTAGATGCACAATATTTTCAAATCAATTCTGCATTACATTAGAAAGGGACGACAAGGATTCTTTTATCCAGGCAGCAGGTGCTGCTTATCGTAAACCTCGGACGAATACGGTCTGAAGAAAATAAAAAGCAATTATTTTTTAATTATTTATTAACCGCTATAAGACTGATGGTGCCTTTCATGGCAGTGGAAAAAACTACATTTAATTACTACGACTACTTAAGTAATAAAATAAATAGTAACAAATTACAGACTTTAATTTTAAACACTACAAAAAGAGCATTCTTCTCCAACTTTTATGTAACTTATAAATATGTAATTATATAAATCAAATAGCAATTATTAACATTCGTAACTGTCCTCGTCAACGCATTCCTTTTTCTCGTCATCAAAAACCTCATCCGAATCACACTTCTTTCTTTTCCGTCGTAGAACAGACTTTGATGTTTTTGAGCATATGTAATATTTTCTACAATTATTAGGATCCACAAACTTGCCTTCTTCATTACATTTGAAACCTGTATCATTAGATGATTTTTTATTTGAATTTTTATGGCTTTTATTTTTCTTTTTATTACTGGATGATAATGATGCTGACGAAGAAGACGAGTTTGCGGATATCGATGATGACGTTTTTAAAACCTTTTTACCCTGTTTACACATAACGTTTACTTTATCAAGAATATAACCGCTTTTACATTCCAATTTAAGTCTTAAGAACCTGTGATTGGGACCTTTAACACAAACGTAGTACATATTATCTTGCCATACATCAATAAACCTACCATCTTTTACACATTTAAATTGATTATTTCTAATACAATGTGATAGATTATTAGTACATTGTTTTTTAAATTCACTAAAGACAGTATTTTCTGGACAGTTACCTATAATAGGTATACTATAGCCTATACAAATGTAGAATTTTCTACAATTATCTTTATCTGCATATCTACCACGAGAATGATTTTTACAATCAAAGAGAAGAGCAGATGTTGTTTGTAATGTATTATTTTGTAAAATTAGGGAAGATTTAGTTGTTTCAATGTGTTTTATGGGCATTTCATTAGTTTCTTTTTTTCTATTAAGATACGTTGGGCCTAACGGTATAGCGCTATCATGTCTTTCAGTTTGCATTACTATTTTATTAACAGTCCCAAGTTCAGTCTTTGGTGCGTTATTGACAGTAGTAATTAGTACATGATCATTATCCCGTACTCTCGTTTCCTTTGTTTTAGAATTAGAGTTATTTCTAACACTTACGTTTATTCTAGTTTTATTATATAATTCTATAGATACCTGTCCATTTGCTTGACTTATGCAAATACTCCTGTTGGAACACTTTTGTATGATAGATTCATTTTTACTGTCTTTCAGTATAGTTGTATTTGTATTGTTATGTTGTGATCGTTCGGTAACGTTGTCTACTTTAATATTTTCATGTACTTTTGAATTTCTCTCTATACTTTTAGTTGTGACGTTGTGCACTTTTAACTGCAATTTTCCTCGACCAACTTTGTCATAACTTATACTAAAATTGTTCTTTGAATTTAGATCCTGCTCAAGTTTATTGACCCTCGCGTTATTTTTATTAGTTGTGGCAACATTCATAACTGATTTATTTGTTAGCAACATATCATTGAGAATGTGGTCATTTAATATCTTACTTTTATTATTAATACGTGTATTTGAATTCGCGTTGTTCATTTTGTTAATAACGATGAAAGTAGAATTATGTGGTTTTAATGCAAAAGTGGTAGTTGCAGCAGTAGTTGCATTTATTGTTTCACTTGATAAAATTGTGACGTTATAATTAACTTGTCGAACATCTTGTGTTAAGTTTTCTTTCACATTTTCTAATCTTAACGCTGTTTGATCTTCATATCTAACTGTAGACGTGGAAACTTGTATGGTAGGATTTATGTCGTTATTAATTGAATTAACGAAGCCATCATATAGGGTATTCTGATCGTTTCTTTTATTTGATATTTTTTTAATATCAGTCTCGTATATAGATGTATCTGTTACCGATGTTGCATTATTAGGAGTTAACGATTTAAAAGTTGTTTGACCATTTTCACTTTCGGTGGTTAAATAAACATGTTCTGTTGTCATTGTAGACAGAGGTATAGTCAACATGGGTGTAGAATATTCTGATGTAGTATATTTAGTATTATAAAATTGGTTGTGATTGTTCGTTGCGTTACCACTGATTAAACCATCATTTGCTTTTTTAACAATCGTTGTTATTTTCGTTAATGTTGTTTTGTTTAAAGTAGGTTCAGTAACGTTCTCGAGACTATTGAAAACAAATTCCTTGACATCTTTTCTATTCTCTTCCAGAAGCTCTTTTTCTAGTCTGTTCTGCTTGTTCTCAATCGTTAGTGATGAGTTTGCGATAGGAGTTTTATTGTTATGTGTTGAAACCATGGGACTATCAGTGAAATCTGTTTCCTGACCTTCACTGTTAATCGAGCTAGAAATTGGTAGTGCTCTTTGGTCTTTCTTTGTCACGTCGACAAATGTATCATTTAATATACTTTCACTGCCGATAGTGGTGGGTGTCAATAAAATGCGTTCAGTAGGGTTTTCTGTATTGTAAAAACTATTTTTATTTTCAACTAACGTATCGATGATAGGTTTGGACAAATTCAGCACTGGGCCTGTTGTCATATATTGAACTGTAGGGATTTTTTCTGTTTGGTCGTTACCAATTACAGAGTTAGAAATAGGTGCCGCTGTATCTATAAAATTCTTTATTAAATCGATATGCGTTGTATTGAATATATTCAGAACAGTGTCGGTTACAACTTTTACAGTAGAGTCAACGCTATTATTGTTTGCAATTTCTCTATTATTACGCGTCTCACTTTGAATTAAATCTGCCGTATTATTCTTTAACGGATCAATTGTTTTATTTTGGTCGTAACTTACTGTGATACCCTCAGTATTTGTTAAATACTCAGAAGCTTCTATTGTAGATTGGGTAGAGTAGTTTAATACAATCAATGAACCATTTAAAAGTTCATTGTCTGTTCGCTTAATGATTTTGTTATCTTTTCGTTTATCATCCATAATAAATGTAGCGGGGTCTGAAATTGGTGCAATCGCAAAATCTTCATCATTTAGAGTTTTCGAATTCTCTACGGTAAAATTTTGTAGTATCGCGTTTGATATTGGTTTCTCCATTTTCTTTTCATTTACTGTTAAATAAGTGGCGTTGATGTTAGTTTCATTTGCTTTTGTATGCCCTTTTTCTGCAATAGACACTGTAGTTATATTTTGCGTATGATTACTCAAGTCATATTTCGGACTAGTAATTTCATCTGCGTTTTGAATTTTCCCTTTTATTTCCTTATATGACGTAAAAGTATCCCTTGTGTTTCCATTGAATAAAATAGCCGGCTGATTTTCTGTTATGTCATCTAGTGAAGTAGAAGAATTTGGCATTGGTTCTTCAGTGAAATATGCCCCTTCAATGATTTTTTTAGCTAGATCTTTACTGTTGAATGAATTAGTAACAGTCGCTTCTGTGTAAATGACACTATTTGTTAAATCGACATGGGTATTAGATTTGTTCAAGATAGATTCGGTCATATCTTCTGCGACAGACACATCTCTATTATTTTTTAATGTTTCTCCATTATTACTAGATGTTAAAATTCCTGTTTTATTTTCTAAAATCACTTTTTCAAATAATTCGGTTGTATTACTTTTAGGCGAATTGATGGTTTTATTTTCACTTTTATTGTAATTTATCGTGGTACTGACAGTATACGTAAAATAGTGGGACGTTTCCAATGAGGATTGAGTAGAGTATGTCAATTCGCTCTTTGTATTATTTAAAAGTTCACTGTCTGTTACTTTTCTCATTTTATTTTCTTTTAGTATATCATTAATGAGTGAAGTAGCGGTGTCTATAATTTCTTTTCCCTTAATGTCTTTTTCATTGGGATTTAAGTTATTTATTTCGGTGGCATTTTTTAACAACATGTTAGACATTGGTATTTCATCTATGATTCTCTTTTCATCTAATGGTAAATAAGTAGTATTTTCCATAGTGTTATTTGTATTTGTATAATTTTTATTTTTAAGATCCTGGGTAGCAATATTTAGCTCATGGTCAGTTAAGTTATATCTTGGACTAGCACCTTTTGCAATATTTAAAGCATTTTTCGTATTTGGGAAAAATGAAGTTAAATTTGATACTAAGTCTTTGTTTAAAGTATCGTTATCTACAATGGTATAATTTTTATTTTCAATGTCCTTTGTGGTTATATTTAGCTCGTGGTCATTTAAGTCTTGTTGCGGACTAGCATCGTTTGCAGTATTTAAAGCAATTTTTGTATTTGGGAAAAGTGAAGTTAAATTTGATGTCAAGTCTTTGTTTAAAGTTTCACTTTCGACAATAACTGCCTCGTTTTTTACAAAACTTTCATCGATAACTGTTACATTGGCGACAGATACATTTTTTGTCTCAGTGCTGTTAAATATATCTAAATCGACTTTAGTTATTTTGTCACTGGAATTCGATGCTAAGTCATTATTTAAAGAATTATTATGCGAAGTCGACCTGAAATTTCTTAAACTTTCCCGATTTTCAGATCTACCGTTGAAATCTGAAATAGGACGATCCGTAAACGAAATCTGTAAAGGTGATTTCAATTCAATAAAATCCTTGTTACCCTTTATCAAATCACCAAAACTGATATCGAAGTCCGGAGAATCATTCGGAATAATGGGATTGGAAATTAAGGAATTTTGAATGTATGTTTGCGGTGTTGTACTTAATTCCGTTACTAATGTTTCAACCGTGCTTGCTGGAAATAAGAGTACACTGTAATCTGTATCCTCAAAAAGTGTATTCTTAATATCTTCTAAACCGTTGCTTCTCGAAGTCGTTTGGTAATTATTTGTTTGTTGCAATGTAACTATATTTTCCGTTGTAAATTCAGTTATTGTCTCTACGTTTGAATATAATGTACCATTCAGATATTCTAAGCCTAACATTATTTTATCTGTAATTATTTCAGTCGTATTAATTGCATCAGTATTCATTTTGTCAGTTTTGTTAGCCATACTTGTAGTTTTATTCCTGGTGTGGAAGTTCTTTTTCATTATTGTATCGCTGCCTGTATTATTACCTACATCTAAGTTGAATGAATTTATGTAGTCGCTAAGTTTTGTACGTAAGGTGTCATCATGACTGGAAACTTTTGAATTTTCTTGGTTATCAGCTTTTATGGTAGAATTTAAAATGGCCTTTTTTGTTGAATCGAGTTGCTTTGGTGTATTTAAAGTCATGGGATCTTTGTTAACTTTTAAAATGTCGCCGAAAGTGATATCAACTTCAGAAGACTCTGAAGGAATAATAGGATTTGACATTATACCATTTAGAATATATGTTTTTGTTGTCGTCCTCAAATGTGGTGTTACATTTTCAACAGTTGTAGGATGTACGAGATCTTCAAATAATATTTTTTTCTCAATATCTCTTAACTTGTCGTTTCTCAAAGTTGATGTTTTTAATGAATTGCCTACTGAATTGAAATCTAAAGAGTCTGGAAGAATAATACCTCTTGAAAATATATCATTTGGAGCATATGACTCAGTTGGGATATTTAATATTGATGTTACAACTTCAACCGGTATTGTAGAAATTGTTTCAATCGGATTCTTAGAAGATTTGGAAAAATCTGTTGAAAATGTAGCATTTTGGGCATATCTCATCGTTGGAGTACTTAAGTTAGATTTTATAGGTTTATTTGGTACACTAGAAGTACTTTTAATCTGATGCCCTGAGTTTAATGGAAGAGAATCTGTTAAATGGTTAGCATTTTGACCATATCTCTTTACTGTTGTATTAAAGTTTGATTTTACGCTTTCATTAGCTTTTGTAGGAATTTCCGCATGCAGCAAAGAAGTGTTTGCGAGTCTGTATTTCGATATTGTAGAATTTGGAGAATATCTTTCCGTTGTTGTACTCGGTGTTGTAGTAATTGTTTCAGTGAAATGTTCAGTAGAGTTTGACTGAGTAGCATCTTTTGAAAATTTATGATTTTCATCATAGCTTTCTGTTGCTATATTCATGTTCAATATAACACTGTCATCTGGTTTTGTAGATATTGTTTTAATTAGGTGAGCAGAAGAGTTGATTGCATTTTGAGCAGACTTTTCCATTATCAAACTCGGTGTTGTAGAAATTGTTGTAATATCCCCTGTGGAGTTTGAGAGAATGTCTTTCGAAAATTTTTCATTTTGAACATATGTCTCTGTCGGAATATTCAATTTCAATTTTATACTTTGATCCGGTGTTGTTGAAATTGTGTCTATTAAATGCGCAGAAGAGTTAGGAATATTTTTTGAGTGCATAGCCTTTTGATATCTTTCTGTCGGTATATTTAAGTCTGTTACATCTGCAGATCCAGTGAATGGTACTGTTGTACTCTGAACTATTGTATCCTTATTGTCTTTTAACAAGTTAGTCGTCGTTCGATTGTTTCTGTTTAATTGTAACGTTTCTTTCGGTTTATCTTTAATTAGATCAGTATGTGAATGATTAACAGATATATTGGGATTACTAACTGCAATTAAGTGAGTTAAATCAGATTTGGTTGCATTAAAAGGGGCTCGTTCGATTACTTTTAATCCTAATTCAGTGTCAAGTAAGTTGTTCACAGTGAAATTAGCTGTTAAATCTAAATTGTTATTTTTGATGGTGTTTTTAGACTTATTGTTTGATCTTGACGTGTAATTAGTAATATGTGAGAGATTCCTTCCAATATCTGGAATAGTTGATGGCGTCACTGAAATTTCAATGTTTGTAGTGGCAGTTAAGAATTCTACGGTGGAAGATTCTTCTATGGCAACACTATCGCTGGGTGTTGTCATAATTTTGTCAGTTGTATCAGTAGTCTGTGCAATAGTTGTGCTTAATTCCCTACGCGCCTCTTCAAACTTTGATGTGAGTTCTTTATTTCTTCTTATGAATTTCTTATTCACGTCAATAGTTCTATTTTTGTAATCGTTAATATTCGCACTGTTCGTGGCATTTAAATTTCTTGGTACTTTTTCATTTACCGGAGTACTATTCACGATTTCACTATCAATATTGCCGTACACTAGTACAGCATTGTCAGTGTCGTCAAAAATAACATTTGCATTTCCTGGAATTATATATTTTTGTTGGGTCGGAAAAATAACATTTGCCTCAGCTTGTTGCGAATCACTTGTAAAAAGAAATTCATCATAAACGTTTGTTGTTAAACGTGCCTCTGTTGTTTCCGTTGGTATATTAGTATCTTGGGAATTAGAGCTGGGTGTAGTCGATGTCGATGTCGAAGTTCGGTATTCACATTCGAAAGCGTTATTTTCATCGCAAAATGTGGTAGGTGGGCACGACAAGACAATGTTTCCCACTGTCATAGATACGCCCCCACCGACATCCACACAAATCGTAAAATGTGTCGAATTCTCGCAAAGGAACGACTTACCAGAGCAATCGATAAACGGCTGTGCTGTTGTTATCAATGCTAGGCAGAATATCTGAAACCGGAACAAAATTACTATATTTTTAATTAAATTTAACTAAAATATATTCTAATCGATTAAAAAACTAAAACAGAAGAAAAAGATTTGGCATTTGCTATGACTATTGCTCGATATCGTCAAAAATTTAATTAACACAAAAAAGCACAAGTGCGGGAAAGGTAAAGAAACAAAATAATAATGGCCAGGAACTAACACTAGAACTTAAAATATAGTTTATTTTACATACCGTTATTAAAAATAAAAATAAATCCATCTTCTTCCTTCCAAACAAAACCAAATCTGCATTTCTAACTTGAATGTTTCTATTTAAAGCACTTTATTAACTTATTTAATTAGACGTGTCCTTTATCAGCTTCAGTTTTCAGTACACTGGCATGTTTTCACTCCACTCAGATAATTTGAATGGCCGCGTAAGAAAGTTGTTAGTATAATAACATTCAATTTACATAACGCACTGTCACACATAGATTAGAACTACAACCGGGCAAATATTGTTGACATCTTATACGGTCTCATTTATTTTTATTATAAGTAGAAGCAAACTTGATGATTTTATTACAAACATAGATGAATCAATGGCATATTTGTTTGTAAATACGAGACGAGACCCATATTGTTTCCTTTAACTTCCCATGCAGTTACCATCTGTCTAGCGTCGAGATAACTGTTAGCATTTGCACTATACAAAATGAATATTTCTTTAACCTCTTTCCTATGCTATAGTCTATTTAACTTAGTATAATACCTCACTGCCACACTCAGAGCGAAAAAACAGTTACCTAAGCAAAGTTTTAGTGTAGACTTCCCTGTAAATATTCACTAAGATGCCTTAGTGGACATTTTATGCCAATTTAGTTTATATATCATTCATTATTAAATTAACAACCTATTTTTTAATATCTCTTTATTTCGTTATCAGCCAGTATCTCAGAATAACATCTCAGTGTATCTTGCAACTTCCTGTGCTTTGTTGACATAATTATTTGAGTCAGTTATTAAATACTGCAATTATTAGTTAGTATACGTAATTGTGGTTTTTACCACAATGCATTCATGTTAAGGTTTAATCAGTTATATCTATTTGCTTTGTTACAATCTTGTAATATTTCCTTGGCTCTGATCTTTACTCTTATCCTACAAGTAGATATTTGGAAAAGGAAAACGATATTACGCTGTTTAAAAAGTTATATTTAAATCATAAATTTAATTGATATCACTTTGTTTCGGTTACGAAAATATCACATCAATAGAGTCACCCAGTATTTTTGATTTGCACTTAATAAAATCATATTTGAATAAATATGTTCCTTACTTTTGTAAAATAACCAATTTTCTTAACAAAAAAACAGTAAAGGACTCACTATTTGCTTCTTTATAAGAACACATAATTGGTTACTTCTAAAAATGTATCTTTCCATGTATACGTCATTAAAATATTCTAACAAAATATAAATATCTTATCATCATTTAAAATAAACAACGACAGTTTGGTCTTAAATATTTCAGCTTAGTATCGTACAGAGATATAAGAGCTAAAACTAACCATAAAATCGTAACAGCACTTAATACAATGCCTATAATAAACATGGAGTATTGATATCCGTGCTCCTGACCTACAATAAATGACAAACCGACTACGAAGAGAGACAATAGTGAGGCAGAAAGTGTTTCGAGAGTGCTTTGAAACTTGGGCCATTTTCGGGCACCGACGAAATCTTGGACTGCTGTCTCACAGCATGAGGTCACAGCCCCGTACCCCAGTCCCGATATCACGCAGCCGATGGCGAAGGAATCGTGATTGTTGGTTTCTGCAAAAACTGAAAAAAGCGTAAATTTATAAATTTATTTCAGTTTCTTGTTTATGGCACTCCCTCAGCGGATTGGGCCAGTGTCGAGTGTTTATGGATTTGCTTTCTTTGGAAGAGACTGGCAACAATACTTTGCCTATGGTTATATATTTATTAAAGGTATTTCAAATTAATGATACCAGAAATATGCTTATTACTTAGAATTTAAGCAAGATGTGAAGAAATATCAGGAATTATAACCATTAGACAGCAATCAACATTCATATGTTTTAGTAACTTAAATGATAACTTTTGCAGAAAATAAACACATCAGTATTATTAAACCTGAAAGTTTTAATAACATCGTTTTCTTCACAGACTTATTGTTTGTGTTTCGTCATATCAATGATGCATCATATGAAACATTCGCAAATACAAGAATCGGAAAAACAACTTTATCTGCAAGTTAATGCAAGAATTCTACAAACATTGCAAATTTAACCACTTCCTGTGATTATTCTTATTGCAATGCGGTATTTCACAAAACTTTAGTCTTATTTTTGACACAATATTAACATAAAATTATATTAAAACTTACCAAAACATGCAATAGTAGATGTAATCAATCCGAACACAGCGACGTATTTGAAATTTCTCTTCGGTGTCTGCGCCAACCACGGCGTACTCAACAGAAAACATATCCAGGTAAATCCGTGCAACGACAGGAGAAAGTTCGTCTCAAACATTGATATCTTTGGCCGAACCTGCTGCGCTATCATCGGTATTAAAGATAAAAATACAGCCGTCAAACACAACTTTGCAAAATTAAGCAATAAGGCTGGATAGAATCTCCAACAAGAAAGCGATCTCGTCAAAGGTTTTATAAAGGTATCATTAATGTTATACATTAAATACAACAATCTGCGTTTTACTCTGTACATTCTGTACGAAGGTATCCAGAACCTTCTCTTTATGTTTGTAACCATCGACTGATATCTAAAAGAGAACGTGTTTAACACCTTTTCTCTATGAATCTCAGTTATTGGCGATATGTGGTCATAAGTTACTTCAATTTCAGAATGTTCTCTATTGTTATGGTTGCTACAATCTTCTTTGGAATCTTTTCTAATTTGTTTTGTTATGTACTCATCTAAATTGTCACCTAGTGTGCTCAGTCTTTTGATTGCAAGGCTAAACCGTCGCTGATTGTTTGACGATTTAACATTCGAAGCTTGTTCGATGTCGTCTTCGCTCTCCTCACTTTCCTCCGGGATATCCGGCAATATGTCTACGCCGAAAATGTTTCTTCTCTTCTCTTCCGGGCTCGGCGGCGGTGTTATCGTTCCTGCTATTTCTGCATCTTCCTCGACCTCCTCGTCTTCTCGATGTAAGTTATCATCGGATGGATTCTTCCAAGATTTTTTACTTAAGTCGATCAATTGCAATTCTGCGGTGTAATAGTTATCTGCACCGTCATTTTGAAACCCAGTATAATTCTTATAAAAATCTGAATATCTGGAGGCACCTGATCTTCTGACACTTTCGTCGATTTTAAGAAAAAGGACGGCTGGCAACGCTTGTAATATTATTCCGGCGAGAACGATGAATGAAAAGGAATATCCGTAGTAATTGATTAGAACTGATATAATGTGGGGGAACAAAGATTGTCCGACTGCTTGTCCCGTGCTGCATATGCCTCGTACTATTGCGAGCCGACTGTCGTAAGTTTCGAATATAACTGCATCCATTTGGGCGGATATTAATGACGATCCGAGACCTAAAAATAAGGTTATAGTGACAACTGTTCGATAAAAATGAAAAATAAACAAAGAGCATCATGCTTATGTTTACCGCCAAAAACTCCATATATGAAGGGCTGTAAGTACAATGGTACAAATGCGCAGGCGAGCAAGCTAGCGACTGTCACTGTGATGCCGACTGCTGCCATCGCGCGGTAACCCGTGGACCCACCCCACGAGTCGGCAGCCTCGCGAAACCAGCATTCTGGAACATTTTACAAAACTATGTGTCAAAACAATATTGGTAAAATTTCACCAACGTGTTCCATGTTGCTGAATTTTATCATGCAGTTGCAGTCCACGGATACGGGGGCTGCTTTTTTTAAATTCCATGCTGACGTACTGCCTTGAAACGGGAAGGTAGCTGATGGAAGAGAATATCTTAGGCGATTATTTTTTTAATTCCGTGCTGACGAAGTCGCAGATGACCGCTAGTGGTAGTCTCTTACGTGTTAATCCAAAGGTGAGCAGATAGATAGTAGGCGTAGATAGACCGAGCCATGCGGGCACGTCCAGACTCGTCAGGTGTAGCCAAAACACGCCATACGCTAGCACCAGACTCGGCAAGCAGATCTAGAAAGGTAATTTCAGTGGAATAATTATAAGCTGCTCATTTAAAATGTAATTTATCAGTTTGTTAAAGGACAAGAGATGAGGATGTCGTGACGATTTCCCAACCTAAGAAGATTTTTTTCTTCTGGGACACGAAGTATAACCAAAAGATATTAATATCTTGATGAAGAACAGTTAACTTTTTTATTTTTTCTAAATCTATAAAGCTACCCATATCATAAATGCGAAAGTTTGTATGGATTGATGTTTAGAGTTTGTACCTAAACTGCTAAATGGATCTCGATGCAATTTGGCATAGTTATAGAGGTGTTCTGGAAGAACACATAGGCTACGTATTTATTTAATTTCACACGAACGGTGTCGTGAACGTTAGCTAATCTAAACATATTTAGTGCTACGTTTCCATTGCTTTTGTTTTAAGGTACAACTTTTTATCTATAGCAATCAGTTAACCTTACCGCTCCTATCTAATACAAATTCTCGTTTGACATTGATTTTTAGTGATAATTTATGACGATCAGTATCCACGTGATTAAATACAACTATGTTATAATCTTTTCGCACTAATACCAACAACAAAGATATCACATCCTTAACTATTTCCAATTTTTTCTTATAGTATCATTATGAATTGTCCCCAACAGATGCACAAGCCTGATTTTTTATTTAAACAGTATGACTAATAGACAAAGAAAATGTACCATAAAATTATTACGACAACTGTACTGGATATTTGGCACATTTCAGCGTCACGAATGTTTTGTCAGAGATAATGGACTGTTGGTTTGCACAAACCTACGTAAGCAGTTGTAATTATTTATGTTACATTTGTATCCGAAAGTAAGTTGCGGGACAAACATTTTATGTAATAGACAAACATTTCTATTATCTATCACCTGTGCATATTGACATGTTTATAGAGATAAAGAGTGGCATCACGGCCGCAATGATAAAAGCGAGATGTAAGCAATGCACACTTCATAAAGCACTCATGAAACACATGACAATCGAATAAATAGTGTGATGTTGTATTTGACGTTTTAAATTAAACCTTTTCTTATAACTTTAGTGGTAGTCCAAAAATACTAATTGACTTTCCCCTAATTACCCTTGTTATTTATAAATTGTTCCTGAAAATGCCAGTAACATATTAGACCATTTTTTTTTAAAGTGAATGTTATACATACATTTAGGAATACCACAGAAAACAGAAGACTCCAGCGCCAATTTGCGCCACTAGATCGAGCATCAACTTCCATTTATAGTTCTATCTTCGAGCATTTTTCATAAATATGGTATTCCGACGCACCAAGTTCTAGCAAACATTTAAACACGTTATCACTATTTAATCCAACATTTTAATGGTAATAAATATAGATTTATTGATTCAAATCAATGTTAAAGAAAAATTATCAAAGAAAGCATGTCGACTTATTGACGGGACTCTATCCATACATTGACAGTGTTATCGGGAAACGTCGTCACGATGTACTTTGTCTTATCTTATCGTCACTATGTAAGAAACTAATATGAGATCAATTATTATTTTCATATTATTTCATTTTATAGTAACAAATAAAGTTTATCCCCTGAGTGAACCTCCTACATTACCATGTACCTACCTCTACCCTACTTAGAGATACCTCTCTACATATTTGCGCCCTCTGTTTATGTTCAAACAGGGTATACCGTTTTTTTTGGGGTCTTTTTTTCATCCATAAATTGTAAGTATATGTAATTCTTATTTGGAATGGTGATAAAAGAACGCAAATCATCACAAATTTTCTTCTCTGAAAACTCCCTCACTTTGCGTCATATTTACCGACATCTAGATGTAAAGAAATAATAAAGTAAAAAACATAAAGACAACTCTTACAGGTTCTTTGCTCTGCCTTTGGTTAATTAACTCCATTTGTTATAAGGTTCATTAGGACAAAAAAACACAGTTTTGTGATCTCTTCATCAGAGTTTACCGCCAGTTAAATTATTTAGAGCGAACAGAGCTATCATAAATAGGTACAACTTAAAATGTTCTGCATGTCCCTGTAGGACTAAATCCTATTACTAAATACATATTATCTAAACAAAATCATAGAAGTTTGGAAGTAACGTCCCATTTTGTCTAATGTCGTGTAGTGTATTAAAGAAAGAAGACCTACCTCCCCGACATTTCGACATCGTAAGTATCTTCGCTTGATAACATTTTGTATTTATTTAAACATACTGTTTATACAAAAAGGATTTTGATCTAGTTCAAAGATTATTCTTCTGCAGTTTAATTTAATTAACTATTTTAAATTAAGAACAACTTAAAAAAAACAGATTTTCTTTAGGCAACTGGCAACTCAATTTTCTTTTGACTTTGACGTTGACATACTTTTGATTTTGACATTTATTTGTTGTGACGTGAATATTTTTATTTTGCGAGAAATAGTTCATATTTCAAAGTATTTAATTTATGGAATTCTTCTAATTTTACATAATCTAATTAAGAATGAATAAAAGCTTCAAGGAATATTCTAAATTGGTCCAAGAACTAAAAAAGGAATGTGCTGAACACGGCATTAATGATGAGGAATTTAAAAAACTTTACTTGGAGTCTTTAGAGTCAGTTAATAGAAATGAAATACAAAATAAGAACCGCAGTAAAATTTATGTGAAGAAGAGAAAATTACTGTTAATGCTTGTATTACTTATCCTTACTGCTTGTTCTTTTAAATATATTTATAACAATGTCATATGCAACTTACAAGAATTAATTTATCCTGGATTAAGGCTGATTAGGAAAATGTCTATACCTTTTATTTCACTGTTTCCTGCATTAACAGGTTTGTTTTATTATAAGATATTTCTATATTAAATAATTTATTTTAGAAAATTTATACATAAATATTAAAATTTTCAGAATTATACCAGGAGCCTTGCTTGGTGCAGAACCCTTTTTTCACGGTAGTAGACATGGATTGCTGGCCGTGCAGTACAGTTGGTAATGTTCACAAAGTGTTTGACCCTCAGCCTGTACATCAACAGAATTCAGCACCTTTTATTTATAAGGTAAAAATATATTAACTGCCATCTACACAATTTAACAAGCTACTGATTTATTTACTTATACTTTTTAAAACTAACGATTTTCTAGTGTTTTCTAAGTCAATGTTATTGGTTGATTTGTGGTTTGCTTTAGATTAAACTTTGACTTATAAAGATCAAAATTAAAAGTGTAGTAAAAATTTATGTATTAAAAATGTTCTTTAGCATCTTGTTATTTTAGGGAATACTAAATGTCAACACAAAAAACATTATTTACACTTACAAGTCAGTAGTTAGAATTAGTTATCAACTAGCTTTCGCCCGCGACTCCGTTCTCGTGCAATTTAAAAAAAAAACAAAGTAGCCTGTGTTCTTCCACACCATACCCTACATCTATGCAAAATTTAATTAAGATAGGTTCAGCCGTTTAGGCTACAAACATCCATCCATCAATCGAAACTTTCGCATTTATAATATTAGTAAAACTTATACCAGCACTTACTTGAGATCATCCTTTTTATATTTCAGAGTGATCAACCAGAAGTTAATTTGAATGTACTGAGAGATTTATATTTAAGAAATAGAGATACCTTTGACAAAGAGTCATCTAAAATTCTAATGAACAATCACCTCTATATATCACCATCACAAGTTTTAATTCAAGAAGAAGCCAGCAACTTGTATATATGGTAATTTTACATTATATTAAAAACAAAAAAACTAGTACTAAATAGACTAATGTATCTTTTGATTTGTTTAAAAGTTTTTAATACCTTTAAAAAAATAAAGTTCTGTTTTGCAGGAAAATAAATAATATAAATATAGCAAGAATCTTAAGACAAATAATACCGAGGTCAAAAGTAGTACCAAAATTTGGTCAAAGCACAGAAAGATACATCATAATTGATTCAAGTCAGACCTCATTTAGAATACCTGATACAGAATGTAACTTTGCTTTCTTATTATCTCTGAGTGGAATGAGAACGGTGACTTTGAACCCTGCCGAGGAATGCAAACATCAATGTAAATCATTGAAGGTTGATTTAAAGGAATCTGATTTATGTATGTAGCTTCAATTTTAATAAGTGCACAATATATCTTGAATTTAGAACAGATAACGAACAGTCTAGAACACTACTACTATAGAGAAATATAGCAATATTATATAAAAAACGTTTCTAAAAATAACTGCATTTAATATTACATTTCTTCTGGGCTATTGTAACATTATACAAGTAGGGCACATGTGTGTTGAATATGCATAAAAAATTTTCATAGAGTTTACCATAAAATAAATGTTTTTTTCAGTATGGTATAATTGGTGGTACTGGAGACCAATAGTTCAACAATCAAACGATAATACTACATTTATTGCACATGTTGGATCATATTGCTGAAGTAAGTCATGATTGAAACACATATTTGGAATGTATAAAACATTTTATTGGGCTAAGATAAATTATTTAATTGAAATAAATAAATTTGCTATAAATGTTCATTCGAATTTATGTTTTAATTTATGTTTAAGTGCCACTGGTATCAGTGACATGAAAGCAAAGATTGTGAGCACAGCCACTGAGGTCCATGACCATGCATCACTTGTTGAAGTCAATGTATGAAGAGTTTGGCCCGCTTGTATGGCAACAAACGATGGTGGTGCAACACCTAAAATAAAACGGAATTATTATAAATTGTCATACCAAAATTACTTCTTAGAGTCTCAATCACGAGCCCAAGAACCTAACTTCTTCCTTTCCCATCACATTGTTTTCTTTAGAGTGAGAAGGGAAAGAATAAAATTATGCTTCTCTTTAGAAACGAGAAATTGCTTTCACTTCGATGTCATTTTCTAATGTAAGCAGTGTTATTATATATCTTTCTGCAATATGGTAAGGTTTTTTTTTATACCGGTATAAACGAAATTTATTCACAGTTGGCTAATTAAATGCTATAACAAAAGGAATTTAACCTATATTAATTAAAACAATTTGATAGTACATACCAATGAAAGTTCCCAGAGCAAATGGAAATAATGGCACACCAATCACAGGTGCGGACATATTTATGAACCAATTTGGTAAAAATGGTGTTACTCTCAAAAATATTATATAATTGAGTAAATTATTACTATGTTTTGACACAGCTTTTGACCACTGAGCGGCCCTATCTGGGAAAAACTTCCTCACAACTTTCTTCCCAAGCAGGTTCGAAAGGAAGAAACACAAACTGGCACCAATGGCTGAACAACAGCAAACTAATAATAAAGCTAAATAAAATGGAAACAAAAACCCTGAAAGAATACTAAGAAAAATAGAACCTGGTATTGCAAATGTTTGCAAGCTGAATTTTTGGTTAAGGTGAATTATTATTTGTGACTTATAAAAAAACAATGCAAATATTTTCACATGTTAAAAATAAAAATCTTTTAAAGAGGGTTGTCATCTTTCAACAACTACCATTTAAAGTTATTTTACATTTATATAAAAAGGATACAAAATATATACTAGAAATACACCGAACAATACTTCATGGAAATACTTGTCCTTATATCGGTCTAAAACTAAACCCAAATTCTTCGCATCTTCTAAGTCCCATGGTAACTTTAAATACTGCTTTTCACTTCTGTAATGATAAAATATAGTTTAAAGATACATATTACTAGCTTTCGTCATTCATATTAGATAAAAAAATCTAGGTCAGAGATTATGGGAAGCTGTAAGAAACATACTGTCATATTTCTACTACATGTCTATGAATTTAAAGGAAATCATTGTTTTCATTACTTACGCTTCCAACTGTGGAAATTGCCTATAAAGTATTCCTAAAGTTAAAAGTGATGTACCAAATATTATGGCTACAATTATTAAAGCCTTAGATGTAGATAAGTCACTTGTATTTGTGCTATTTATAGGATAAGAAGTATCTGAAAAAACAATTATTACATTAGTATTTTAATTTAAAAATACAATAGTGAGGTACGGTTTTGATAAAGTCAGTAACACACTAACAAGGTGTAGCGAGGAAGGAACAAGTAAGGAAGTAAAATTATGGAAATAGGTACTTGGGAGAGGACGATAAGGCAATCGTGTGTACTCGGTTTCTAAGAATCTTATTCTTGACTTTGTCTGACATGGTCGGTCGACCGTAGTAGAAACATGGGGATCTTGAATTTCACCTTGGACATCGTTCTCGGTAGTCCTTCGGGCTCTGCGCTCGACTGTACTCATTGCTGCGACCTAAATAATTAATTACGCAAATCAACTTCATCAAATATATATAGAGTCTAAAATAAAAGTATAATTATATTCCATTGAGGATTAACTAAATTATGCTTTATCTCACAAACACAGTACAGCAGAATAAAATATTATTTAAAAATCAAGATGACAATTTGACAATGACATTTGAAAATTAAGATTGACAGGTTATAAAAAATAATTCGTACTTTGCGTTCGTAGTTTTCAATGGTTTTCAACAAAACTAAAAAATAACTTTTAATTGAAAAATGTTTCCAAAGCTTAATTAGTGTCTAAAACATAATAATTATGTAAACATAAATAGTAAACTTAATGAAATGTTACATTTGACAGTTTTAAACGTCTAGCTTCGCAAAACAGATGGCGCTGTAATTTTGGCGCGAAATTAAGAAAGAAGCAGTAGAAAATTGTCCGTTTCTTTTTTAGCTCGATCTATAACATCTATTATACCTGTATGTTTTTTTATACCTGATGATTTTTTTAAATTAAGGTCCCAATGACATAAAAATCATATTTTATGAAATGGATTCAAGTACCTAAATGTTAGTTTTAAATTAAACTTTAGTTTTTTTGTTTTGTGGTTGATTTACTTTAGCTACAACTATAGCAACAATGACATTAATTTTCGCGGGTAGTGCTTTTTTTTTTTAAATAAAACCTGAGCTAATTTTTCTCCGTAATACTTTCTCAATTCCCAGATTACACCGAGGAGAGTTTGTAACGTTCACGTTCCGGTGCGCCTGATCGTTTATATTTCGTAAAATGGATGAGGGAAGGGAGTCGCGACGCCCGTCGCCCGTCGCCCGCCAACGCCGCGCCGGGCCACGGGTCGTGTTCGCGCCAGACGGCAGACGCAGACGCCAAACGGACGTATACCGTGTCGAAAGTGCATTCGAGTAGCTCGTTTTTTCGTTCTTCCGTCGATACAGAAAAAACATAGATTTGTTTACGTGCTTTCATATTTGATCAAGGATTTATCATCAGATACAACGACTACCTACATGGATTTCGTTACATGAGTGTAAACTTCTTTGAGAAACATTATCTCATGAATAATGTGAAATTAGTGAAAGTTCTTCCAATAATTATTGAGATGTGGTCCTTTGTGAATACTTAGAGAACATTAATGAAGTTAAGCATTAAGGTAATAAAAAATGTTGTTATGTAATTCTAATTCAACAGTTGGATTTCCATCGAAATTCATATTTATAAGTTCTACCTACAAAACATATTTTACGTATCCAAAACTTCTATGAATCGTCTATCGATTAGCCCAAAAAAAAGCTGCTAATTTGAATAATAAACTATGTTTCAATAATGACTCTTGAACTTCTTGTTGGCCAGGGAACCCTGGTGTCTCAGCAATAAACTATTTGTTTAAAATATGATTAATTCCTGATACGTACGGTACGCAGGTAACTGCGAACGTACTATACGTACTATTTTAAACACAAATTGATAAGTTCCAGTTAGATTCGGTCTCATTTCCGGCCCATATTGTACAAATTGGAAAAAAGTAACTTAAGTTAAATAAGTAGCTAACCAGAATTTATTGTAGGTCTCTACAAATATAAGGATACCCTGCGAAGTTGTCATTTTATCATGTAAATTGCCTATTAATAGGGTCGTCCTCGTTCATGGAACTATTACACTAATAATCGGACAACAGATTATATGCAAGACTAAAAAAATGGCTTACACTGATAGGGTGCCATCGTTTCAATCGTCTAACGGTTTGGACAATGGATTCATAGTTGTGAGTAATGATCAACATTGAAGTGGCCTCTAATATTAGGTTTTGTTTATCGAATAAGGAGGCAAAAGAGCATTCGGCCACCTAATCCGCCAGAAAGGAGAAGCAACCGCTGCCTATGGACACACGCAATTGCAGAAGCGTTGCTTACCCTAAGTCGACGGAGGAGAAGACATAAAGATGATGTTTCCTCTTCCTATGCGTCTCCTCCACCGTCAAATCCACATTCCTATTCAATCCTTTCCTCATAAGAAAGGGTGAAACGGGAAAGGTTCTGAAATTGGGCCTCCTATTGCAGCAGGTGATGCGAGGAGACATCCGTGCGTGCCTGCTGGTTGCTGCAGTGGCGCTGTGCAGCGCGGCGGCGCAGGCGGGGGCCGGGTCGGGGCCATGCGAGCGCGGGCGCAACTGGTGGCACCGGCGGCGCGGCGCCTGCCTGCCCTGCACGCGCTGCGACCCCGCCCGCCTCGCCGTCAAGTACCCTTGCGAGGTGCACCGCGACACCGTCTGCCAGCCACTCTACGAGGTCCGCATCTTCCCCTTCAACGTCCGCCCGCGCAGGAAGAACGATAGTCATCACAGTGAACAGTCCAGTGATTATGAGTACTACGAGTATTCAGACTATAGCGGTGAAGTGACGGATAAAAGTGACGATGTGATAGAATGGGACGTGCAAACGTCCACTTTGACGCTCGCAGTGAGTGGCTGTGTGGTGTTCTTTGCCGTGGTACTCGTACTGTCGCTGTACCACGCCAGGCAGTGGAAGGTTCTCAAGCAAGCGCTCAAGTCTGGTTAGTCAAGTTTTATATCTATTTTGATATTTGTTTTCAGTAATGGTCATTGTAGAAGACGACAACACCTCATATAAGCCGACTGAAGACAGACTAGCGATGTCTATAAGCTTTGTAGGCTCATTATAATTTCCATAACAACAGCGTGAAAGTGTAAAATTATTAGATAATTGGCTGTGCACGCTACTAAATTAAACAGATAAGTAAAGAACGTAAATTAACAATATTATGAATAAATATGCATCTTTCGATATTATCATGCAGGTTTGATCTCGTTGTGTAAAACTAGTATTACTAGTATTATCATCTTTGCATTTTAAAATAAATTCCTAGTGTCATCATCCACTTGCCCTTATCCCTTATGAAGGGTCGGCACAGTATGTGCTGCTCTTCCATACATCTCTATCAGCCGTCATATCTGAATCCACTCCTTTCTTAAGCATATCTTCCTTCACACAATCCATCCATACTTTCTTCGGTCTTCCTCTTCCTTTGTAGCCATCCACATTCAATCTCAAGACTTAAAAAAAATAAATAAATAAATAAATTCCTAGTGTAATGTAGAGAAAACATTCTTGCAAAAATGTATCCACTTTGCAGTACATTTATTCTGAATTTTAATTATAGTACCGCATTCTTTTAATGTAAATCCAATCTTCACTATTCTTGTCACGTAATACTAGAACTTGTACTAACGATAGCATCGTTTGTAACTACACTAGATAACTGTGGGTTTCCATTGCATTAAATATAAAAGTATAAACTGTAGGTCACTTAATGTTGAGAAAACTGTTGGTATATATAAAATACATACATATAATTTCAGTTCAAAAGTTGCTTCATAAATATATCACGTTGGATGTCTCCAACAATGATGTAAATGTGCTCCTTGGTAGGTAGATGGGATAATCGTTAGTCGTGTAGTTGTTATTCAAGTTACGTGTCAGTTGTGTGGAGTCGTGCCCTACCTACACGCATTAACGTACACAATCCGTGGAGGTCGCCTAATCAAACGTTCTGAATATATAACTCACTATTGTACAACTAACAATTGATATTTGTCTCCATTTATTATCTATTTTAAGAATATACTGATACCTAACCAGTCTATTTAGTTGAATTTTCCTATTCCAAATCGTATAGAAAAAAGTCTTATGCAATAGTATGTGCAAATACATATTATTTTTAGTAAAATGTTCTACAAAACTGTATAATAGCCGTGCTTTTTGGTCGTTACTTTTATCGTTGCTTTAAAAATACTAACACTTCGATTAAACGTATTTGGATGTATCGTAAATTCAGCAGTTTCCAACCTCTTAATGTATCTACGCCCACATAAATGGCCAGTACACGGTTCGATGGAGCATAGCCAATTTTTACAACGTAATTGTGTTTGGTTTACGTCTCGACTCCATATCAACATTCGAGTATAAAGTCAATCAACATATGAATAAAATTAAATCAGTAATTAAACGTCTACAGCCAGCCTAAAGCTAAACATACAATTTTGATACACATATCATGAACTTTGTTTCAGCGAACTTCATTATTTCCAGCTAGTCTTAGAACAAACTGCAATCCATTTTAATTTACATTGTTCGCAATACATTTGCTTTGGTTCGTATCTACTTACGTGGTAGCGTGTTAGCAATAATTTCTGTAGTCCATTGGCGTATTCGCAATTGAAATCCCAAGCCAGCATCTATTGTAGCTGTCAGGTCAATAGTTCGTCGTTCAAGGTGACATCTATTTGCTGTGTCCATTCTCTACGCTAAACTAGATTCATTGACCGTTATAAAGTAGACTGATTGATTAGTAACCAACGTACAATAGAGTGCATCACAAGTTAACGGTTCGATTATCATCAATTAATTCTTTAACAGTAAACTGTCGTATAAATTGCATATTCTCATTTGTTGTACATTAAAAATTGTTTCATTTTTATTAGCGGCATAGACAGAATTCTGTGTAAAAATATTCCAGACGATTATTACTTGGAAGCGGTGAGTTCATCGCCTTGATTATATAGAGCAGAAAACATTTCACAGTCGAGACTGTTTACATAACCTGTTAACGTTCGTTGAAAACAAATCGCAGGCGAAAAACGTTTTTCAGAAAATCTTTCTAAACATATTCAGGGTTACCATAACAAGGCAACAACAAATTAAGTGTTGATATTCTCGATTCTGGAAAGTTTCACAAACTGTTGATTTTAACGGAGAATTCAGACTTAAGGTCAAACTATTGAAATGTCTAAACAAGTTTTTAGGTACTTAAAAGAAAATAATATAGGATAATAATAAATTTACTAGGTCTCATACGGGCCTAGCTTACGTCTTTAGAAGAACAAAGCTTTTTCACTTTTTAATATTACAAGTTTGCGATTAAATTACAATAATTTGTGCAATGAACAGTTTTTTTTTTAAAGAAACAGTTTAAAATTTTTGTAATGTCTACTAGATGTCTTCTATGATTGTTACATAAACTTTTTTCTATAAATAACATAAAAGAGTCTTCGCTCATCTCAATAAAGTTCTGAAACAAGTTAATGGGTTTTAATGAGGACTTCGTCGTCGTTGAGAAAACTTCTGAATGAAATTAAGAAACTTCCACTCTTTGATACGAACTTTTTAATACAGGCTGAAAATAAAAATATCCATCTGAAGGTGGGACGGAATGTAATAATTCAGTTTTATATGTCGAAACCAAAATAAATGCCGTATCTTATTTGACTCACTTTGTTTTTAAATTATAGCTTAAAGAATGCTAATCCTTTTTGGAAAGTTTTGGAAGTATAACACGAAGCATGCATATTGAATTGATGAAACGAATGTTAGTTTTACACGAGGGCTATGCAGTAAAGCAGAGCAGTAGTGCAATAGCAATCGTGTGTTTAAACACACTGTTAACACAACATCGCGACGGTCAAAACGGAGAATACAATAACATATACGAGTAAGGCAAGCGCCGATAGTAGTACTGTTTTGTTGTTCTTTTCCGCCCTCATGTGAAACTATCCTAATGTAGGTTGGCGACTCCGGGCGAGCTGCGCCGGCGCGTCGGTTCACGTAAACAATGCCGGTCTGTTTGTACATGTGCGCTACTAATTCTGACCCGCCTCGACCACGGCCTAACAATAGTTAACGGTTTTATTTTGTATTCGCTCACACCAAATTTGAATAGCATTGTTAAACAGATTAGAGGTAAACTACACGAGGCACAGGTAACTTTTGTTTGTTTAATAATTTTAATTAGTGAAGCCAGTTGTTTTGTTAGGCAATAGCCTTCGTAATTAAAACGTTTTATTTTAATATTTGGTTTACATTGATGTAACTATTGTATTCATAAGCTTTTGAATAATGCTGGATAATTATATTAAATTTTA